ACGAGCGGCAGAAGCGAGACGGAAGAACGGAGGGGGGCCAGGAAGGGGTGGTATAATCGATGCGGACATGTGCAGTTCCCTCGGGGGTAGCAACCCCTAACTCGCCAAACCTATTTATACAACAATACCCGGTACAACCCCCCATAAACCACCCTCACGCTGGACCGCCGTGGCTGCTGTTGCTGTTGCTGTTGCTGTTGCTGCACACTCCACCGCCCTTCACCGTCGTCCTTCTCTCCGCCTGCCGCCTTCGGTTTATAATCAACCCCTCTTTTTCTCTCGCTTCGCTTCTCTTTCACGCCGTCTACTCTCCTAGATGCACGAACAGTTTATCTCGGGGCCCGTGCGACCAGGACTGGTATTTTAAATAGCAAATACTTATCTCGCTACCGAGGGCAGGGTGGATGTGGCGATAAGCAGGCCGAGAGGGTAGATACGCGCACGCGACTACGGCCGAGAAACGTAAGACGAAAGACGCGTGACGCGACGATTTTCCTTCTGCTCTTTGTATCGAGCAGAAGGGAACACAGGAGAAAGAGAGAGGAGATCTTATTCGACGATCTTACTTACTTGTGACGTTTCCGACATCAACGCGATACGCGTGCTTTGAAAAATTTTCAACGTCTGAAAAATTCCTCGTTTCGCCGGAAAAATTCTTCGCGTGCTCGAACGTCGCACGCTCGCGACGTGATCCCAGTCCCCGACAAACATACATACATACACGACGAATAAAGTACGGATACTTTACACGCGAAAATAAAGCGATCCACGTACGTGGCGAACGTTATTTACATACATATGTACGTCGCCTCGGTAATAGGAATGCCGTAAGAACTTCCGTTTCGGGCGTAGGCGTGCATGCATGTGTGCACATGATTCAGCAGATCTACGGATCATCGGGCGGACAATCCGGAGCAATTAGCATAAGTATATTTATGCAGATCGTTCGTTCGTTCGTTCGTTCTTACGAAGGTGGGAGTTTTGGAAACGAGAATTGGAACGGCTAGTTTTTTCAAGAAGCGAGACGAAATTCGGGACAAGATCGAGATCCTTAATGCCCCAGAAAAAAGAAAGAAATAAAAAAAAAACAGCTATCGTTGTTACACGACATCATCGTGGCCGTAAGACTGGACCAGCTGAGGCACGAGTAATCCGGATTTCGGATTAGTCTAAGCCCAGCCTGAACACCAGGAGGTCGTTCCGGACACTTCTGGCCGTCTGTCCGGTTAAAGCGAGACGAAAATAAGTCGGTCTATACGTGCCGCGGGGAAAAGACACGTTTCATCCACGTCTCGTCCACCGATCGGTGACAACGGCCGCTAGACGTTTCCATTGTGCGTCCGCTCGTCGGCCCCGATGCTCTTCGTCGAATTTACACGCTTCCAAGAACAGTCGGTTCGCGGAAGAATCGAACCAGAAACGAACGACAATAGGCGGAATTCAAAGGGTTCCTCGAGGGGAGGCAAATAAAGCCAAAATTGCACGATTTGTATTATTACGTATTACGGCGACTCGTGACAGACTCGTCTCGACGCGAGTTACTCGTTTCTTACGTGACGACGCGAAGAACAATCGTACAACTCGAGGAACAACGTTACGAGGCAACGCATAAGGGTATAATCGACGCTGATTTCCCGAGGAAATCACGCCGATCAGACGGCAATAGCAAGGGTTAATTGGTAGCTTTGCCACGTTAATTCGGGCCGGTGACGAGCGCTAGGGTTGGAACGTGCGCGGTAAGCCGAGCATGATTTGTAAGGCCTCCTTGCGTAATGACAGAAGAAGGACGAAGGGTTTGCACGACAGGGGCTTGTTTCCCGACACGTGCTCCGGCACGTGAGTGTTCGAAACGCTTTCGACTGTGACACGATCCCCTTCTTCGGATTTTCGACCTCCAAACGCATTCTCTTTTAATTCCACCGTCGCTAACCGATACCTACCCGTTTCTCTATCGCCTCCAACAATTTTCCCCGTCCCTTTGTTAACCTCTTGCCACGCACGTCAAGAATTTTTTTTGTCCCAAAATTGTAATATTCCCTCAGTTTTAAGTATATTTAAATAAAACAAATAATAAATTTATTACTTCACAATGATTTCTATCCAGTGATATCATACCGACGAGTTCAATAAGTACGGCGTGGTCACTCGTTATGGTCCGCAATCAGTGATGCAAGTGATTAAACGAAGAAAAATACCATCTCCTTTTTAACATCGTCGTACAGATGATTAAGAAAGATATTAGAACGCGATCAGGGCTCATTAATTCGCGGAATCGTTGGGCGAGAATTCCTCCGTGGCCAGAATGCTTCTTACGCGAACGACGGGGGTAGCAAAAATGATACGATAGGGTTTGTACCGACCCGCTGGGACGGTTTGTCTCTGCAAGACTCCCGCGAGACCCCCGTGGTTGTTCCTGGGGCGCGGAGGCGGGCACGCATCTGTCGAAATATCCCGATGGATCTTCAGCAAGAGATCCGCCAGGACACGTATTACACGGTACGCTGACGCCCTTCGTCCTGCGAATCACTGTTACAATGTACACACACTGTACGTTGGTCGTTACTCTACCCGGTTAAATTCCATGATAAACTCCCGCGAGGACGCGGCTACGTAACCGGACGAGGGATGAAAAGATTTAGAGGACGCTTTGCAGAAAAACGATCTCACCCTTCATTCCCCTCGTCCAGATCGTCGCTGTCATTAACTTTAAAGCAACCGGGCTTTACTATCTCTTGCACTGCAATTAACCAACTGACAATGTTAGCGTAGGTACTTAATAGATTTCACTTCTATATCGTAACTTTGCGTTAAAATGGGAGAATTTGTAACTGACGCGATAAAGTCTAAAACTTTATTTGTTTCATCAAGGATATAGATAGGTACGTTGGAAAGAATGTACAGACATTAATAATTTACAATTTGTACAAGTGAAAACTCTAAAGTGTGTCAACAAATCGACACAGTCTGGTCTAGAGAAAGAATAAAAACGAAGTAAAGAGGACAGAAGACAGAGGCAAAAAAAAAAAAAAAAAAAAAAAAAAAAGAAAAAAAAAGAAAAGAAACAAAGGACGTGAAGGCAGAGCAGAATGTAAGAAGGAAAAGAACAAATAGTTACAAATAGTCGGCGAGCATGTCGCAGAAAGTCGTCAGGAAGACAAACGTTCGCTGCAATATTAAACGCGGTGCACGGCCGCCAAAGGTTTGCGGCGCCACGTTTTCGCGCCACTAAAAAATACACAGCTACCTGGGGACACGACGGTAAACTGTGACAGCGGACCACAGCGGTCTCTACGTACTTAAGGGAGATATACTTGTAGAAACGGTCGCGGGGGGTCGATAGCACGTGTGTGTACACACGGTTGTAACGCAGCTCGAAACACAGCGGAGATATAGCGCCAGCATCGTTTCTGTCCCCAACGGGACTGTCAGGGATACGAGGAGAACGACCGGAGCCCCGAGGAACCGTACAACCCCCGGAGGGCAGAAACACATCAAAATCGAATTCACCAGATGTCCAGGAAAACGAATCTCCCGCACCCTCGCCGACGTGGAAAACGACGTTGCACCCGTTAACGATGTTAGGCCAAAGCTAGGACACCGGAGTCGCAGATGCGTTTGCGGACAGCGATTTAAGGGGGTGGCGCTGTGGCACGAAGGATACGAAACTCGAGTGTCGATAGTCTCAGGTGTTTGTTCCACTGGGAGTCGAAAGAAACCGAAATTTCGGTGGGGATGAAAACGCGCTACGATGAATAAATTGACAGAGAAGATTGTGACTATAAAGTTGAGAAATTTAAAAGATGCAACGATCTTGATGTAAATTGTCATGCAACTATAATTAACTGCGATAGGATTTTACGTGTGTGTATTGTGTGTGCTACACACAGAACAATTTAGAACGGCATTATTATTATTATTATTGGCACTGTAATGAGACACGATTGCTGACACGTTTTTAACAAAAAGTTAGTCGATACGTATTATATACGAACAATCTTGAACTGTTAAATATTGAATACTTTCGTGATCTTTGTGAAATGTACACTTGCACTGGATATACGATAGTCGGATCTCATTAAAGTGCTAATGAAACTCCAAAATGTTTTATACAACACATGCGATATATTCGAGTGTTCAAACGTACTTTTGTAAATGTACCTTTTCTACCATAATTTATTTATCTTTAGCAGAAAACTTCACTTACCATTTCTTCTTTTTCTCGGTGGTCTTTGATGTTGGCCCTTTTGAACACCAGTTTTCATGCACGTAGAGAGAAAGAAAACTTGCTAGTGAAAGGCAAGAAATTACACACAACTGCACGTATACGGAAATACGAGGTGGTTTATTATAATAATATTTATAATCATTATGCATCGCGGCGGCGTGTCTCCTCTTCTCGTAAGACGGTAATGCAAGTTACAATTACACAGTTTCGGTGACGGAAACTCAACCAACTAAATTGCATCGCGGGCTTTTCGCAAAAAGGAAAAGACAAATTTATTTACATCGATCGCCGCCTTAACAATTACAGGTTACACATTCCTATTTATATTTATATTTTATTGATAAATAGTACAGCGGTTTTTAAGTGTAGAATTACGCATGTGTACTGTGTGTCGCCTGTACGCGGTGTACCTGTTTGTATTTTATTTTATTTTTTTTTTCCATAATACGTGTCTTTACGTATATTCGGATTTACGTCGTGTTCTCTCTCTTTTTTTTTCTTTTTTTTTTTTCTCCGACGATCTTGCGTGTCATTTCATACGTGTCGTTTCTCAGGTGTAGAACAGCAGATATCTACAGGATGTTTCTTAAAAGTAACGTCGAAAATTAATCAACGGGGAGGGTATAATATTACACGATAGGACATTCGAAATTTTATACACAATAATATTAATAATAATATTTAATAATTCATAATAATAATAAAAATTATAATAAAATAGTAACGCGTCGGCGTTCGACCAACGATCATAATAATATAATAATAATAATAATAATAATAATAATAAAGATAATAATGTTAATAATGACAATGATAACCGTGAAGAAAACGAAGCTAATCGAAACGATCGATCGTCTTGTCGTATGCGTATCTTACAGAAACGTAACGTACATACAAGGATGCAAAAGTCGTCGTGGCTCGAACGTGAACGACTTGCGTCACATTCTCTCGTTCGCGGACAAAAGTCTCTGGAGCCGGAACAAAGTCGGTACGGTCTCTCCATCGGGGGGGAGGGGGAGATGGCGGCCGACCGGTCGATTTTTCGTCGGAATCTGATCGATATTCGCCCGGCCGATGGAAAGCAACAAAACACGAAAGAAATGAACGTTAATTAAAACTCGTACTACCAGGCCAGCCCTTCGCTCTGCATCTGGTGCGGCTCCAGGAACCCACCCCCGCCGCCGCCGCCACCTGGACCGCCGCCATTCCCACCGGCACTGGGATTACCCTGTGCTCCACCTGAGAAATATCAAACCCATCGAATCGGTTTCCTTTCGCTGCTTCGATCTATCCCGAAAAACGTGGGATCCAAAACAAAAACCAAATGAAAAGAAAAAGAAGAAATCCTCCTTTCGTCCAATATTACGGAGTGTTAGAAAGATCCTCGCGTCGATTTCACGCGATGATAAAATACATCGTGCGTTCACGAGTTTACCTTACCGCAATGTCTGTATTATAAATAGCACGACTATTTTCTAACACGCCATAATATCGCTTCGAAATCTCGTTACGTTGTCTCGCAATTTCGTTCTAATACCAGTGAGTCTATATATATATATATATATATGTGTGTATATATATTTGAGCGGCTACTTTCGTACATATGACATAATCAACGGAACAGAAAATGACTCTGACGAAGGTGGAACAGGAATCGAGAATTAATTATTCTAGTGGTCAGAGGGGCGTAGCCGTTTCAAAAGAATCTAGTCGTACCTGAAGGTGCTAGGAACTCTCCAGGACTACCGCTGGAAGGTGCAGGGGGCCCCTGTCCAGGAGGGCCCGTGAGAAATTCCGGAGGGCCACCTCCCGCACCCGGAGGTGGATATTCCCCTGTCACCGCCACTGCGGCCGCCATACCCGCTAAACTCGCCGGGTCCAAACCTGTCAGAAACAGATTACGTGTACTATTCAGAGAGGATCGTATCCGGCCTGCTATCTCCGAACCCGGCTGTCATAATTATCGCGACCTACCTACCCGCCACGATGTTTATTATAGTCACGATAGAACTCGAGACAAGGTTCTGCTTTCGATTCCGGGAACGCGGATATGTATAGATCGTGCAAAGTGTAGAACGTGGACGTATCTGCGCGTTATAGTGAATCACTGTTCGAATCCCTTCCAGCGACTACGTGCGCGTTACGTTATCGATTGATCGCGTCGCGTATGCCCGCGAAAATAGTCGTCCGCTCTTTGTTGCTTGGTTTTCTCTTTTTCTTTTTCCTTTCGGAAACGAGTCGGAGAGGAATCGAAAGAGGGAATCGTAAAGAAATCCAAGAATGCCAAGACTCACCAGGATTGCCTGGTCCGCTAAAGGGCGGTCCATGTGGATGAGGGGGCGGATGAGCACCAAAGAATTCATGGTGAAATGCCACGGGCCCGCCGTAACCGAATTCGAACTTCTCCGCGCCGAAATATGGAAAACCGGGCGGCGGTCCGTCCTCGCCGCCCAAAGCACCGGGATTCAGGTTCAGGGGGAAGCCCCTCATTTTTCTGGAGCCGCCGAAGAACGGGCTCCTGCCCATCGACGTCAGTTGTTTTAACCTACGCTCTTTGCTCCTCTTATTTTGAAACCAGACCTGCGAACATCCGACACGGCCGACTGTTTTTCATTCAATTTACTGATCTTCGAAAGCAATTGCTTCGTTTGAATTCCGTTCTTACGCTTACGGAGAATGTGGGACCTTTAGCTAGCATTATTCGCGCGCAACTACGTATGTACATATGTAAGTACGTAGAAAGCGAAAGAAAAAGAAAGAGAGGAAAATAGGAGGAACGAAAGTCGTTTTGCGTTGCAGTCGCTTGCAAGTTGAGGATTCAAGCAGAGGATGAATGAAATTTTGAATATGAACCTGTATCACTCTCATGGGCAAGCCAGTCTCTTTTGCTAATTGTTCCCTGATATGCCTGGTGGGTTTCGGAGTGGACGAAAAGGCAGACTTGAGAATCTCCAACTGTTTCGCCTTTATGGTGGTTCTCGGGCCTCGCCTCTTCGAGCCGGCACCGCCGTCGCCGCTACCACCACCGGCACCACCGTCTGGACTTTTGTTCTCCGTTTGGCTATCCCTCGTTTCGGGATCTCCGTCCAGGGAACCTTCGATTCAATGCAAACAAACCAGTTTTAATAATCGATCCCACGCAACAACCACCGGGTTAAACACTTTCGTTTCTCACGAAGCAAGTGGCTCTTGATCGTGGTAATTTAGGGTAATTTCAGGTCAGTCGATCAGTTTCATCGGTTTCGTCAGAGAGAAGTCGAATACTGTTGAATATATATTTCCCCTTCCGTGAAAGTCCCAAATGGATCTACGCGAGAATAAACAGCAACATTTTCTATTCACCATCGGCGGACGGTTTCTTAACGATCTATACACGCAGACGATCTACACACGCGTGCATAATATACATATCTCGGAATCTTGATCGGCTGGATCGAGGTAACAACAATCGGAGCCAATCCCCCGGAAGCGATGCGAAACCCCCATCGGATTATCGTGGCTGCTCTACGCTTGAAAGCTACACCCTATGGGGTGTACGTGTGCGTGGACACAGGAACGACGCGCAACGTGTACGCGCGCACCACACACGCGCGCACAGCTTTCGAGCCCAACTCTTCACGATAATCTATACTATATATAGCCGGGGAGGTCTTAACCACCGGGACAAAGAAAATGTTTGGACAGTGTCACGCCGCACTACAGGGGCCACCCTTCGCGAAGACACCCCTCTTTTCCTCTTACCGAAGCACAGAGAGGTTGCTTGTACCCGTGCTCCGCGGCGAGAGGTAAAAGCGAGGGGGGTCATTGTTGCGCTCTCGCGATAAAAGAGCAGAACCAGAATAATAGACCGGGAAGACCTGACGCGCTTAGTAATTCGTACTGACGCTCCAGGTCAAGCCACTGAATTCCCTCCCTCGTTCGAGGGTTCCACGGAAGGGCAACAGCACATTGGCCGCGATTAAGTCGTTAGTCGGTCCCAGTCAATCGTCCTTTCAAAATCGAGTTTGTCGCGCCGTTGCCAACAATAATTCTCTGGTATCTACGTTTCGCGCGTTTCGATCTTTTCCTCGTTTCACTCACAATTAATTGTTTAAAAAGCGTAAAACGAACGTAAAAAGCGTAAAAAAAAAAAAGAAAAAAAGACGTGAAACAGTGTGAAATGGCCTACCTTGATCCTCGGAGTCTTCCTGCTTGCAAGGATCGCTTCCAAGAGGTAGATCGCCGGTGTGACCAACCGTTTGGTCACCAGGACCACCTGGACCCAGATTATGAGGTCCCAAATGAGAGCCACCGACACCACCGTGATGATGGTGACTACTACCGTCTTCGTCCTCGTCTTCCGACCCTGAACCCATCAACGAGTCTCCTCCTGTCGACAGGTTGGACGATTCTGCTCGTGAACGATCCGAATCGTGCGTTTTAATCACACATCGCTCGTCGAATCATTGACTTTGAAAAGAGCACCAGTCACTTTTCTGTTCAATGATTTTGTGTTACGTTACAGGCTACGCGCGGGTCTCGAATGCGATTGCACCTCGAATCTCGTAAATTCTAGATTTGCAGAAGGGATGGTCGAATTGTTACTTTCTTTTTTTTTTTTTTTGTTTTTCGGTTTTATCGCCTCGATACGAATGTAACAAGAACTCCCTTTGAAATTAATTCGAGTGGAATTCTTCGGAAACAAGTCGCGATAATAACACGACGGCTGATCAGTCAGTCGTACGCTATAAAATTTTGCTCAGTAAAATAATTGCGTCGATCAACGTCAAGTTTAGACGTTGCAAAGCAGCGAACGTATATGTCCGCTATAGTAAATAGAACATAATTTATCACAACGGGACGAGTAAATTTGTCGATGTTCCCATACGAAATTAGCAATTAAACGTGATTACGGTTATTCACTTCCGACGCGCGTGCACCAACGTCGTTCGTTCGACGAGGTTCATTATGATTTTTCGAAATTTCGCAATTTCCCTCTACCCCTTCCCCCCAATCTCCTGCGCCGCACTCCGCCGCGTTTCCCATCGTTTCGTAATTTCGCGCATTCAGCGACAAAAGACGCTAAAAGTTATCAATAAACGTTCCCTGATTAATCGACGCTCGTCGCGTAATTGCTGCGCTTTTCACATTCGCCGCAGACGATCACCGTGAATTCGACAACTGACAAATGGCCGGCGCCGTGATAGAGATTAATGTCGGAAACGCGTGGAACGTCCAGGCGTCACGATGTTTGATCATCGAAACGAGTAATCGTCGCTCGCAAATCGTCTATTCGCGCGCATAATTTTTCGCCGAGTCGGCCCGGCTTGCTTCTTCGAACGTTCGACGGAAATTGACGTTTGTATCGCTACACGTCCGCCCCTCTCCTCCTCCCTCTCCTCTCCCGCCTTCACCGCAGTGTACGTATCGTCGAGATTTTACGTTCCCCAATAACGAGACGGGCCTGGCCAGGGGAACGATTAGAACGGTCTGACGCCTCGCGAAATTTGCATCTCGCGTGGAAGACAGAAAAAAAAAAAAAGAAAAAGAAAAAAGGACGAAAAGGGCACCGTGGCTCCCGTCACTCGAAAGAAAACGAAAAAGGAACGAGTTGTCGGACATTTTGCGGTTTCGACGTCGGCATCGGAGCGACAAAAGGTCTGCCCCTGCCTAACGACCTTTCGGTTTTCGTTTCACGGCTTACACACCGGCGAGATGCTCGTGAAACCGAGCTATTGCCATCTCTCTTTGTCCCTCCTCCTCTCTCTCCCTCTCGCTCGCGTGTTCGCCCTTTTTTTTTCTCACTCCTGCTCCTTTTCTCTGTTTCTCTTTCGACTGGTGGCTGACGGTGGTCGGTTACATACACGCTGTTTTCACAGCTTGCCGTTCCGACCCGGGCTAAAACCCCCGTGAAAAACCTACCCCCTATTTTTTTTTCCTTTTCTTTTTTTCTTTTCTAGAACCCGCCTGACTTTATAAAATCTCGGGCGTCGGACGCGTTGAACCGTGCTCCATATCCCCGACTCGCCTAGCCAGTCGTCCCTCCAGTCCCTTTCCCCCTTCAAGAGAAAAAAAAAAGAAGAAAATGAAGAATCTCTCCTGCGATCGTCCTGCGATCGCGCTCCACTTTTCGTACGCGTGAAAGTTTGACGACGAGACACGTGAATTACGCTCCTATCGAGATCTGAATCTTCAGAGTGATACAACTACAACTCTGAATACGTAACAACGGAGCATCGAGCAACAACTGAAAGATAACCTAAAAAAGAAAAAAAGAAAAGAGAAAGAAAAAGAAAAACACAATACTCGAGGTGCAATTTATTCAGAAATTTGGTCAGCCACCGGGAAGCAGTTGTTCCCGAAGATAAGCATCCCCCTGACGATTAAGGCAATACAAATTACGAAATATGTTCGCGATAAGTTGTTACACACGAGCACGTGCCGGATCGGGCGCGTCCGCTTCGTACCGTAGGAGAATCACGATCGTTTTAAATCACACGAAGTTTCGCACAAGGCTCGCGGAAATAAACGGCGGTAACAATCGATATAACATGCCGCTAGCCAGCTGCCTACGTACATACAGCGTTCCGCAAATCGGATTCCGGGCAAACGAACGAAACAAAGCCGGCGCGTGATCGTGAATGTCTCGCGTTTGGACGCCGCGGTTCCCTCCGCGGTGGATAACGAGGGACAATGACACTTGTAACTCACCATGATGACCGTGCACGTGATGCGTATCCGGCAGCGGCTTGCCCGACAGGTAGTCCTGCTTGCAGACGAACTTGTTGTCGTCCAGGACGTAGAGCTCCTCTCCGGTGCTCATCTGCTTCCGACACACCAGGCAGGTGAAGCAATTCAGGTGGAAAACCTTGTCCCTCGCCTTCCTCACGAGATCCTGAGGGCTTATCCCTTGGAGGCAACCGCTGCATTTCGTGCCGTATCGCCTGCAAACAGAAACCGGCGACGAGCCAAACGTGAATAACGACAAACGACAAATGGCCGGGAGGAGTTTTTTCGGAACAGACCGCGAGGACTGGTCTCGTTGAAAGAGACCGGGCGTTTAACGAGCGCACGCGTCATCTCGCTCGTTGCCAACGCTCGCGCCACGTGATTAATCGTTCGAAGCGGTTTCCCCGTGTACGCAAGTTTCGCGCCTTCGAGGGAATCGCCGCTTTCAACTTCCTTCTCGTTTTATTTCGTTTCGTTCGAACGTTACGCTTGGCGTAAACCGTGATACGCGAGATTCACTTGCCTCCGTTTTATACAACGTTCGCTCGATTTTTTTATATATATATCGCCGCTCGACCGAACAAGGATCGTCGCTAGTTCGACAGTTCGACTCTTTCTCTCGCTTCCTTCGTTCTTCTTCTCTTTCCCTTCTTTCCCCCGTTTCCTTCGTTTTCTTCTTTCTTTCGTCGTCCCGTCACCGGTAACGACGAACACGTGGACACGTCGGACGGAAGGGAACGAAAAGGAAAGTCAATGTTGTACGACGACGACGTTTATTGGACTCGAAATTTACAAGTCCTGTCATTAAGCCGCTTCACTCGCAAACGTCGATAAAAGAAATATGGCGCTTTTAAAGAGATGGGACTTTAACGTCCCGATAGGGCATAAAAAGTTAAAACCCTTCGGTGCTGTAAAAGCACGTCGCGGTTACCGACCAGCGCCTGTTCGATTTCTCCCTCTCCCTCCCTCCTCCCCCCTTTTTCTCCTTTTATTCCTTTAATCCCTCCGTGTCCTACTTGTTAATTTCGTATTAGCCGTTCTTTCTTTTCCTTTTCCGCCCCCCCCCTTTTTCTTTTTCTCTTTCACGTCGTTCGCGATCGAGGCTGTCTTTTTGTCGCGAACGGAGTTCCGGACGGGAGAAAGGGGGGATTGATCGAGCAAAAGGGGGAGGAGGGGGGGGGGGAAGAACGTCGAGACGACTGAAAAAAGAATAATCGACGATTTGCACGAAAAAAGAAACGAACGACGATCCTCGACGGGCAAAACACGCGTCGATCCAGCTACCATTCTTTCCAGCGTGTGGCCGCGGCACACAGTTCACGCGCCAGTTAATAAATCTTAACCGGAACGATTCCTCCGTTCCGATCCTCCCGCGAACTGTGTTATTACCGGAAGCATCGGAGCCGCGTACTTCTGCCAGTTGGTAATCCCGATCTTTTTAATTACAGGAATCACGCGATTAATTATAGCAATTACCGCTTAGTCCCTTAGGGCTGCCGGCGCCTTTCCAAAGTAAATACATCTCAATCGATGGCTGCACACCGCCGCGCCGCCGGTACTCGGCCCGGTAAGCGGCGTTGCACTTCCGACCGAAATGACCGCGCCACTTCGAAACGTGTGCATTCAAATTCCCGTGGCTGGCCGTCCCCAGTAGGCCAGAATTTTCCCGCCGCTCGTGCATGTAATATCGGCTGACCCGATTCGCGACCCTCGCGACTGCTATTATTTTATTGCTATCGCGTTTCCCGACCCGCGACCCACATCGTGCCAATGTATCCGATTCTTATTTCATTGCTCACGATCCGAAATCCACCGGCGAAATTATCAGAAACAAATCAAGAGACGCGACGAGTTTTTCCTAGTTGTCCAGGTTAGACCGTGGGCTGGCTCGAATGGAGTTGTAAGCGTTGGTCCATCGATCTATCGTTTTACCAAGCTGTCGTCGCGTTTGCCTTTAGAACAGAAAGCAGGGTAGAAAAGAAAAAAGAGAACGAAAGAAAGAGCAGTACAAATTACAAGGATTCCCTTTTGTCGATCGACGCGATCATCCGTAGCTATTATACGAAGTACTTACGCGAAATATCCTATAATCAGCCGGCACACTTTTTTCAAACTATTCATCAACCTGTCCAAATTAGCAGTCCTATGCGCGCAGTTCCTAACAATCTTCTCACGGAAGCAGAAGCCGGAGATATTTCTTGACCAACGGTCATTACGCTGCCAGAGCTTCTCTCGTCTATCGTATCTCTCTCTCTTTCTCTTTCGCTCTGTCTCTCTTTCCCTCTTACCTCGTTCTAACTCGCTCTCCCGTTTGCCTTGCCTATCTTCCACCGTCGTCCTCGCGTTTCGCCTCGCGCTACAATCCCTCTAGTCTAATTACAGGAATTATTTAATTAATTATAGCAATTAGCCGATCCCGTGTCAACTTCCCCGAATGCATACGTCACCGAATCACCGGCTCCTTCTCTCTTTATCCCTCTTCCTCTCTCTCTCTCTCTCTCTCTCTCTCTCTTTCTCTGCTCTCTCTACTCTCGCCACTCTAGGTGGACGCGCGTCTGCCCCAACGATTTTCTTGTTTTTGAGCGCACGCGAGAGGCAGCAGCTTTCGGCCAGGTCCTTTCTTCCTCGTGAAAGAAAAAGAAACGGGAGGCCGGCCGTAAAAATCATTAATAGAAAGGCTTACGTGGTGCTTTCTTGGGTCGCTCGCTCGCGCGCGCGTATGTGTATGTGTGTGTGTGAGAAAGCGATTCGACAGGGGCGACGAGGCCAGCAGGACGCAAGGGGAGGATAGAGGCAGAAGGAGAGGGTGTGGGCTTCAGGCTCCCTTAAAGAGGAGAGCGTAAAGAGCGAGGAATTCTGGCGTGTAGCAAGAAATATAGGACAGCGGGGCTCGGATAAAAAAAAGGGGGTGGGTCCGGAGCCACGATTTGCCACGGAGCCTGAAGTTTATGTATGTGGTTCGCGTTGGTTCCACGGGGTCCCGTATACGACCCTGACGCTCGTTCTAACCTCGCTTCTTCGTCGTTTCCCAATCGTCGAATCGAACGAAACCGGGGGAACACCGTCGGCTGCGGTTACGCCTCATGAACTCGACGATGAACCGATCAAACGAACAGGTAGAAAGGGCCAAGATGTCTTGAACGAGGAAGAGACGTATCGATCGTCGTCCCTATGTGTCGATGAAAGTTCCATTGGCGCGCAACATTCGACGTTCGATCGAATCGATTCGGCTCGAATCGCGCGCCAACTCCGCGCGCGCACACCTTGACCCACCTTGCAAAAAATTTTAATTACCGTTCCATTCGTCATTTCTTTTTTTTTTCCTTTTTTCTTTCTCTCGAGAAAAAGAAATCTTTCGATCGAGGCCGTCGTTACTGTCGTTTCCCTCTCTGTACGCCGTTAGTTCCCATCGGTGCACATGCGCCGACGTCTCGGTTACGCCGATAAAGGAAATAAACACCCGCGAGATTGCTCGCCAGGCGGGCGTCTAATTAACCGAATCCAATTAGTGGCGCGGGGCGAACAAACGCTCGTTTCCGCTGTTCCGCTCTTTCAACCGCTGTTTTCCATTCGGTTATTTTTCAAACGGGAGAATTCCCAAAGGGAATCGAGAAGCACCGAGACGGCAAGACGCTACTCCACTAGCGATTCTATCGGTCGGCGATCGAACGGCTGTCGAAGGATCGTAACGCTGTTCCGCGCAATCCGGTTATCGGGACGAGTTTCAACCTCGAGAAGAAGCCGATTAATTCGTGAAATATCGTCGATTACCGTCCGAAGGGGGTACGAAGGGCCATGCTTGAGAAACGACTCACAACAGTTATGCTAATGTCTGCCGGCGTTGGCCGCGCGACGTCGTGAAAACGCCGTTTTCCATTAAATACTCTCCGGCAGCTCCCCGTTCCTCCCCCCCCCCTCTCTCTCTCTCTCTCTCTCTCTCTCTCTCTCTGTCTTCGTCCCCGTTCTTCATCGAACTTTCGCGATACGTACACATCGGTCCGACGTCGTGCCACTTTCTCCACCACGATTCGCGGCTAGATACCGCGGCGTAACGAGATGACAGACCGCACCACAAACGCCGATTACGTAATTACGTAGCTAGACGCGACTCGCTTAATTGATAAAAAAAAAAGAAAAGAAAAGAAAAAACGAGCGGATAAAATGACCTACGTACGATACGATGTATGACAGAACGCGGGCGCCTGTCCCGAGACGTGTGACGCAACAATCCGGTGGTTGGCAAAAACGACGTTCCTCGTATGAATACGCATCGCGATATATATGCTACTATTGCCGAACCTTCCTGGAAGGGAAACAACTCGATATCTCTCTCTCTCTCTCTCTCTCTCTCTCTCTCTCTCTCTCTCTTTCTCTCCTTCTGTCTCTCTTTTTCCTTCTCCTTCGCTCCCTCTCTGTCCTGGCTGGTTTCTCTTTCTGTTCTCGACCGCGCCGGCCCCGTCACGCCCAACAAACTTCTCCTACGGTTCGTAGCGGGCGTCACGCCGCATTTGTAATGTTTCCACGTTCGAGTTTCGACGGGTCTCCTCTCTCGAGGAGGCCAGCGCCGCGGGTGGAAAGCAAGGACAATGGAGACCACTCGTCGGCGCCCTTTCGAACCGGGCCGAGAAAAGCCGCGGCCGATCTACGATTGGCTTCGATCGTTTCGCTTTGATTTCCAGCTACGGAGTTCATCGTCTAGTTTCCAGTCTCTGTTTCCCCCCGCGGCCCGAAAGTTTCAGCCCCGCCAGTATCAACTGGAAGGAGGCCACCAGACAACGGTGGGATTCAGTTTCCGAGTCGCTCTGCCAAGATAATGACCGTTAATTAATGCCAACTTTCGATCCGTCGTCAGATATCGTCGATCTAGCGCTCCAGATTGAATTTCTTTCTTCGGGAAGTGTATCGATTCGATCGTCACAGACGTTGTTAACCCCCTTGCGCGTCTGGCAACTGGTTCGCGGACCGTAACGAGTGACCGAACCGTGTACAATAATTCGCCGTTTTTCTCCTTCTTTTGAACTCGTCGGTATATGATATCACTGGATAGAAATTATTAAGAGGTAATAAACTTGTCGTTCGTTTTGCCTGGGTTACATTTAAATATACTTCAAACTGAGAGAATGTTGCAAAATATTGGAACGAAAAATTCTCGACGCGCGTGGTACGTCATTCAAAAATCGGTCTGCCACGAGCGAGTTCGCGCTCGCTATAATTTATTTCGTCGTGAAAAGAATTCTAAGGCACGAGCGCCGGCGCCATCAGCGCGGCACGATACGTACGTTTTATCAAGCGCGCAAGTCTCATTTGTCGGTTCAAACGACAAATCATCGAAACACGCGTTTCTCAACCGCACGGTTGCATAGCTGATATTCGTGGAATATTTCCACTCCAGGGGGGGGAGTCGTCGCTTAAGAAACAGACTTGGTCGACAAGCAAAATCCGATCTGTGGCCAACTCTCGCCGGATTATTAACAGGGCGCTAGCCTCGGACTCTCTGGTGACACCGCCACCATCCCCCTAGGCCCGAGTTAATGTTTTCATCGGGCGTATTTCGACGACGGCGCGGACCATATTTCAAGGTAATAATTTCTTAGCGGGTACACATCGGGCCATCGACCGCAAGCCACCGGCGGTCGAAGCGGCGCTGAAACGGGGACATCGGTCTTTTTGATCCTGGACCCTTTCGGGGCCCCCCTTGGGCCATTATCGACCTTTAAGGACCTTGCTGCAACTCGTACAGCCGGTTACTACGACCGTGAGTACCCGTTTCATTCGGCCGATACCTCCTCGGACCTCCCGGAGGTGTCACAGTATTCCCAACAGCGATTCGCTGAAAGTAGGTGGGAGACGCGGACAGTTCGACTCGAGAGACAACATCGATAGATTCGTCGTGCCGTGGGAATCGATCTATATATACTTTATAATTTTCTTCTTCCACGTTTATTTTCGTTTCTTCTCCTCGCGAACGACCGGAATTTGAGATATCGAATTTATCGGATTTCTTTCGAGGTTTTACAAATTTGCAAATAAACATACGCAGTCTAGTGATTAGCGTCGCGAAGTGTCCTACGTTAATGCTCCAGCGACGTGGTAGACACGTTTCTTAAAATATGCGAACACTCTTGCCAGCGTATGTTGTTGCACGTTTAAGAATTTTGTTTTCCCTGCTACTTTCGCTCGAGCGAGTAAGCTGGATCTTAAAGGCTGATTATAAGAAAAAGAAAAGGAACGAAAAAGAGAAAAGAAACGTGCATAATCGGCGATCGAGTCTTTGCACGACGTGTAACGGTAGCAAAGAGGATAACGCTAATTAACGGGACGCCGGAGCGAGAGTTATTTTTGACCCGAAAAGCTTTTCTACACCGCTCGAGCGTAGCCAACCGTTCGTCTTACATCTAATGAATTTTTCATCGGGATGAAATGCAAAGTGGCTCGTAAAGTATACAACACGTTCGTTATACACTCGTTCGTATAAGTATCAAAGGGCCCCCCTTTAAACGCCCTCCCCCCACCCCACTTTCTTCTGCGTGTACTCTGGGTCCTTGGCTACAAAGGGGATCGTTCATCGCTTCCAGAAGTCACGAAAGAGAAACGTGTCTCTCCAGACAACCGGGAAGGTGAACGATTTTATTAGGCGAAAACACTTGCCACTGATCGCGACTGTCGTTGATTGCCGATGGAACCTCGTATTAATATTACACGTAGCTAGAAACTTGGTCTATTTATTTTCGTTGTTAAGTCTCTAAGACTTTTCATCATGCAGTTCCTGTATATTTTCTTTCTTTTTTTTTTTTTTTTTTTTATTTAAATTTAATCGAGTTTCCACTTACACACGACCAGCGTTAAACCAAAGATTTCTCTTCCTAAAAGTCACTGTTCTTCACGTGAGTATCATCCTCCATCGAGTCCCTCGCGTACCTGCACGCCACGATGCAAACCCCTTCGCGTTTCTCGATTCGTTACGTTCGTCAGGCTTTTTACAATTTTTCAGTTTCTTACGCGATCCTTCGCGTTCCTCGGTTCGTTACGTGTTGGTTAACAGGCACAATGTTTCGGCACTGGTTTCGTGCCTTCGCGGAAGAAACGAAACGGGGACGAAGAGCGAAAACTGGGTGAAAAAAATGACACCGGCGGATCGGCGCGAAAGTTACAACATTTTCGATCCGCGCTGGTAATTAATTTAACTGACTCGCTGCTACTTCTTCCCCGGGATCGTTGTGATCCGGGACAGAGACGATCGCGATAAACCAAGCAGCCAGACCATCGGAGCCGAACTTCAGATCGGTTTCTCGCGCGAATGTCAAGGTTCCCCCCTCCGCGCGGTGAACTTCTCGCGAAAACGAGAACAAAAAGTTTTCGCTTCGTCTGCTTCGTTGACCGATAGTCGTGCGCTATAGTTGGGCATACTGGTCACGCGCCTCTTTTTTCGCATGATTTATTCAAAACGGCCAGATCCAATCTGCGATCGTTAGTTCCATCACGCTGTGAACGTTCGATCGAAGTTTGTAGATCAACGCTCTACAAAGTGACTAAAGATTCTGTTTCGTGTTTCGTCTCACCATTCCCTCTCCTCCGAGAAAACAAAAAAGATCGTTTCTGGATCAGTTCCGTTTTTGGCAAGTGTCTTTAACCTCTTGCGTTGGAATTGCGTCGAGAATTTTTTGTCCCGATATTTTGTAATATTTTCTTCAGTTTCAAGTATATTTAAGTAAAACGAAACAGGCGAAACAAATAACAAGTATTTATTACTTCTTAGTAATTTCTATCCAGTGATGTCATATCGACGAGTTCAACGAGAAAGCGACGAATTATCGTATACGGTAACGGTCGCTCGTTATGGTCCGCGATCCAGTTGCCACCGCCAAGTGGTCAAAAACGTAGACTTTCAAGTCTGATCCAAGAACATCGGCATTGTCAGCGCGCGAATCTCTTTCCGAATGTTGCACGATTTCTGGAAAAATGGAAAACTCGATGCGAGAGGGTGAAGGATAGACGCCAACCCTATTCGTGCGTTTATTCTTTGCAGGGAAGCCGGAGTCACGAGATCTGTCGAATCGCTACCAAGAAATCGAGTTTCAACAAAGGATATAGTAGGATAATGCATATATAGTACAGTACGTCGGTGGAATCGCGTAACGAATCGCGATAACGCCGGCGTGTGTCGTTCGCGGAACGGCCGTTGATCGATCGAGAGAGATTTTTGCTCGGAAGCTTGAACGAGTGAAATAACGCATTGGAGTTGTCTGGGAAAATGTCAAGGCCTCCTTTCCATTCGTCGCGAAACGCTTTTTGTTGTGCGCTACACACCACCGTCGATCGTTTGACCGTAAAAAGCGTGGAAGAAAAAAAAAAAAAAGAAAAAAAAAGAGGAAAAGAAAGAAATCGAACGACAAATGTCGCGGCGATTGTCTGCTAATGCGTCGATCGTAAATCCATCGATTTCGTTCGTCGCGATGTCAACGAGCTAGTACCAGTTGTGACACGGCCGTTTATTTAATTATGCAAATGGGGAACAGTTCGTCGTAATGTTCGGCACACGCTTCTGCTCGAAGAGAAAAAATGAAAACGAGACAAGACTACTAGTCTGTGACTTCTCTAACGATCGATCGTGTTGTAGTCTATCGATGGAACCTAATTGCACGATAGAAATTAATTATACCTATGTAGAGACAATCGGTGGGACGACTTGGTCTGACGAATCACTAACTAATGGTATAACCTGTTTATAATACTGTTTCCGCAGATCGAATACACGGGTTCCTAACGCAATGGAACGTAATTAATCAACTTACGACTGCACATTTTGAATTTAAATAGGTATAGGAAATCCCTACCGAATTCCAATATCTATCAGATTGCAATTTTCAAAACCACGATAAACAATCGGTGATGCTTTGACACGTTACAGGTACAAGGTAAAAATCGAGAACGACGTAACTTTAATTACAACAAGATTATCGATCTCCATTCAAGGGGATGAAATACTTCCAATCGATAAATGTGAAGCTTCAAATTACCCGACGCCTATTTCAATACGAAAATATCCCGGCCGCAATAATTCACGACGCCTTGAAATGCAACGAAACGTCGTCTGAGTCAATATTCAGAAACATTGGCCCCTAGATTTCCGTTTAATTCGACGATTTACTCGGCACGATTCATCGATCGTTCGAAGCGCGCGTAAACGCGCAGAGACGTCGCGAGGGCAAACAATAGGTGTGTAAGTACCTGAAGAAATCCTCTCTGCAGAACAGCTTCGCTTCCCTGGAGAAACACTTGTCCTGCAACGTGGTTCTGCAATCGAAGCAGCGGACACACTCGACGTGCCATGCTCGGTCCAAAACATTCAGCAGGTACTGATCCATAATTGGTTTCTCGCATCCTGCACATGACAGGAGCATCGCCAGACCACGTCTCCCTGCTTCGAAAAGAAAGAGAGCATCTGTGAATACAGAGGATTTAACGAAATCGGTTAACGCAATGAAAGCAGATGAAATTTGTTTGAGCAAACATAGTGTATAATAAAATATTTTTTATTAATAATTCGTTCGGGATTCGAATTCGCTCGTCGCGTCTGCGCTCGTTTCCTCGAATTTAACGAAATTCGCGTCGTTGACGAAACGCTGCGGGGTTTAGTAGAAAAAAGGGGAGGGGGGGGAGAGAGAGGGGAAGAAATACCGGAACAGGCGAAAATGTCGAGCATCGAGAAAAGTTGATGGAGCGCGCGTGGCCGCAACCTGACGAGGCGTTTTAATTTCGCGCACGTTCGAACGCGCGCGTCATCGTGCGAAAAACGAAACGCGGAAAACGAGGAAATTTCTGCGACAACGCGGCAACGTTTCAACTAGCCTTCAGACTTTCAGGCTACCCTATTTTTCACGTAGCACAGCGCCACGAAAGAAAGAACGAACATTTCAAACAACGTACGTTTCTTTTGATCTGAGAATTTCAAAACGTCCCTCGCGACAGAAGGTTATCGGTATTTTAATTAGACCGTTACTTGACGAGACGCGCCAAGTATAAGTTTGACATAGTTCTCGATTGTAGATTATAGATCCCGAGTCGAAAGAAAATCGGTGGCACTTGCCGATTGGCAACGCACGTGCACAACGAATTGCCCATTGTGTACTGACATTTTTTTAACATTTTGATTACAAGTGCAGAGCTCATTGAACTATAGGAAATCCTGCCGGGGCGATGCAACCTTCTCGTTGTTAATATCGTAACGTAACTTCACCTTTATCTTGGGTAAACGACCTCCCTTTTTGCAACGAACAGTGACAAGTCTGACAGTTTAAAAAAAATCGATGGTAATACGCAACGATTCAAATTAAAATTAAAAACCAGCTTATCATTTGTGACTTTGTAACTCCGTCATTTTTGCAACAAAGTTTCCTTCAAAGGGAGAAAAAGGATGAGACGAGAAGAGAAAATGATCCCAAGGTTAAATACCGTGTACAACGCCCCTATTCGAGGCAGCAACGTAATCTGTTATACCATCAAATTTAATGGTCGCGCTTGTATCTTTATAGCGGGTATCATAATTGTTTGTCAATAGCCATCAAGCGAGTGTATTCTTGGCCGAGTCGAGTCGAGTCGATGATTACAATTCGTTGTTAATTAACATTCGAGGACGAGATTGCCCTCTATTACATTTTCTTCGGTTACTCCGTTTGCCCGTTCGCCTCGTCCTCGTCTATTTCTATCAGAGCCGCGTCGCGTCTTCTCTCGCGCCGGCGACCTCTGACTTCTTTTTTCGCCATTGCTAAACCCTCTAGGGTTCACTCCTCTCTTTTTTTCCGCGGTTTCCGCCAATGGGCGGAGTTCCTCCCTGCTGGCAGGGTTGTCAACCTAGCAACCCTTCTCCCACCCCTTAAGGTCTGACCTTGCGCATCTCATCTCCCTCCGTTTTGCGGGAGGGCGAGAAGAAAAAGGAGAAACGCGACTCGGCCGGAGAGTCCCGAACCACCCCGCGGTTACCTCGAGATTTAAATCGTTCCGCGAGAGAAATCGACTTACGAGTAATTCCAACGACAAAATTGAGTTCCCACGGAATATTTCCTTCGACGCGAGCACACAGTCACGTCGCTCGGCATCGCGATAAAGAAGCGATACACGTTTCTGATAAACTGAAAACTTTGATCCTGAAAATCTACCGCAAAGACGATAAAGAGGAGAAAAGAAAGTTGACAAAGTTTCGCTTGGATAAACGATATGAAAAAGAAAAAAATGCACGTACAACCGAGAAGATTGAAAGAGACAGCGATAGTCTTTTTTTTTTTTTTTGAAGCGAATACATCCCTCTAACTGGTTGACCTTCCATATTTCTTAAATCAGATATCGCGAGAAGCGATTTCACGGCCGTGAAAGAAGAAGAACGTGAAGAAGAAAGAACGAAGGACACGAGGAAAGATTTCCTTGAATCGTCCGAATCAGATTAGGATTAAGCGTACGTGAGTCGAAAGATTGAGCGATCGAACGAAAACGGGGTTTGATTAATCCGATTCTTTTCTATCAATCGTGCGACGCGTGCCATCTTTCGCCAGGATCGCTCGAAAATTTTACTTTTCGCTTCTACTCTTAACATCTTGATGAAAACAATTCGACTAGCAAGTAATTAACCAACTTAACGCGACTCGAGAATTTTAATTTCAACTTTCTACTCTCGTTAAAACACGCAACAGCTACAGGAACTAAAAGAAATAAAATCATACCAGAAATAGTGGCTCGAGTGTAATTAATTGGTTCGACAATTAACGTAAAACGTTACCTATGTAAAGCTTACGGTAAATTAGTAGCCGATGCGATTGCGGCGCTACACAAACCCACCAAGTCGAATGTGATCCGATACCTTCAGTGTCAATATTTTTCTTCGAGTCACCCTCTAGAATATGGTAATGCACGCTCTTAAACCTTTCCGCGATTTAAGTTTTTCCCGCTGCCTACAAATACAGCCCACGAAAAATAAAAACGAAGAACCTGGTGCCGCACCGGGGGAATAGAAAGGTAAAGAAGTAAATTTTATTTTACTGCAATTAATTATTTTATTTCAATTTTAATTTCAAGTGTAATCGAGCTAATTAACAACGAGGAAAAAGGAAACGTTCGAACAATATCGAACATTATCGACAATTTTTTCGTTTTCCTTAAACAATTCAACTCGTCTTAATAAAATACTTGCTTCAACGGTTTCTTAGATATCATACGCTTAAACTCGATAATCATACCTAATTTTGATCGATAATTATACCGAACTGCCTATATAAAAAACATCTATATTTTTCACAGAAATCGTTACACTAGCTCGATTTCTGAATTCGTTATCGTCCAATAATTTAATGAGTAACGATCTGTTTTCTGTCATTTTTCTTCTTCTTTTTTCTTTCGTAGCGAGATCACGGAGAAAAATTCGTCGGCTGCCTACACGTCTAATTCCACTTGAATTTGCATTGAGGAAGATTTCCTCGAATCGGTCGTTCGTTACGCACAATGACGTGTATTTCGACGAGTGTTCAACCCTGTCCGAGGCAAATTTATCCTCGTTAGATCCAAACCACGGGACAATCCATCACCGCGGATAAAAAACGCGCATTCCTATGACATCCAAATTACGGCACGATCAATCACGATAAGCGAACGAACTGGCGTTTCTACTGTCTACCAAAAAAGAAAAAAAAGAGCCAAGAAAAATATTATGGTGGAGGAACTGTTCCTTTCTTCCAACTCGAAACTCGACGAACCCGTGAGGAAAATCCTTCGACCTTCTGTAGGTACCTATGTGAGTTCGGCCTGGCGCCGGCGCTTACGAGGTGTTAAACCAACGTTACCCACCGATTCTCTTGCTGTTTAGAATCGAAATATTTCCCGACAGAAGAAGAACGTAAAACACCGATTACTCGTGAAAAACAAAGACCAACCTTTAAAAATACACGTTCCCAAAACTGGGAGAACCGACTTTACAATCGATTTGAATCACCCGAATCTAACGAAACCAACCCTACTGGTTACACATTATCTGCAAAAGCCTCTTTCACGCTATTTTTTTCTTTCATTTCTAAAGTCAACAAATCAAAGAAAGAGATATTTGAAAACTCTCAGTAGACAACGAATCACCTCGCACCATTGAAAAATAGTCTTTCTCGAAAGGGGTTGAATGTATATGATAATTTTTCGCAGAAATTTCCTCCAGATTCGCGCGTGAAAAGGAAAAGAAAATATAGGTAAGTATATAAGTAAGACTGAAATGATCTACTTACCTATGTTACAGGCTTGGGTGACGGGCAGGGGTGCGCAGCAGGGCCCGCTGAGGGTCGCGACCCTTATCCGGGGGGTACCAACCCCCCCGGGGCCCCCTCCCCCGCCCCCGGCGCCCCCGTAGCCCTCCACCTCCCCAGCCGCGACTGCGGCCACCCCTGTCCCCACTCCCTTGCCGGGCCCGGGACCACCACCAGGCCCACCTTCCACGGGCCCGTATCGGCCGAACGGTCCCGAGGGCCCCAGTGCACCCACTTTTACTGCGGTGTTATCCCAACAGCCGTTAAATCGCACTTCTCACACTTCCCCCCTTGGCTGCCAGTTTTTTCGCCAGCACACACTCGATATTTTGACAATTCGCTCCTCTTTTTCTCCTGTAATTCTGTTTGCCTCGAGTTTCCAGGCCGCGTTCGCGTTACCTTGTGTCTTTATCGCGTTTACGCAAATCACGTTTTATCGCTTTATCACTTTGTTATATTTTTGTCGTCGAGTACTGTTCATGCGGTTTGGTTTCTTTTTTAATTTTTTAGCTTCAAAGTTTGAAAGTGTTATTCTATTTTATTTTTTTCTTTCTTTTCCTTTTTTTACTGAGATTGGATAGCAGGATGGAAGAATCACTGGTCATAAAAATTTCCAATTGGTTTGGTACTCCGCCGTTCCTGCTTCACCATTCATATATCTCAGCTGAGCAGCCGGCACCGTTGGCATATTGCAACAACGTCGCCGCGTTATGGTCGTTTTCCTTCGGATCTAGACACTCCGCGATGGATCATGGCGCCGATGAGACCGGTATCGCGACAGATCTCTCAGACGCGACGTGCGCGTCCGCGCGACGGGCCGCATCAAGAGCTCCCGTGCGCCTTTTACCTTCACGTAAGGATCTTGTTGCCTACTTTTCCTCGTGCGAATAACCTCGATGCGCGCCGATATCTGCCGACCAAATCCTTCTTTCAGATTCACACTCTTTTTATTTGGTATCTGTTTTCGATCGCGTTTCACGGATCAGAGTGAATGTCAACGTCAGAATATAACTGGAACCAATGATACAGCCCGATGAAATAGACGCGGTACAAGTTGAAGAAATGATACTGGGCAAACCGATTGCGCCTGAACGAGCGACACGAAATATTAAACGCAAGGATCCCGAGCACGCTCGCCTCGAGTTCGCCAGCCAACTGGCTGCACCTGTGACAACCGCGAGGGCCCCCCTCTACTTAGACCAGACGTCGCGCGCCTCGCTGGAACGGGCTACGCCCATTGGACACGACCACGGCGCGGGACCTTCCGCGCTCCGTTCTGATTGGCCGGCTAGGCCCCGCTCGGGCGTATCCAACCCCGTGCGCCGGCAGACATGGCCGTGGAATGGCTGCGGATCTCTGGCGGCGGACGGGACGCTTCTGTCGTTGCTACTGCTTCTGCTGCTTCTGCCGCCGTGTTGTTGCTCGAAATAGCCTGCCGCCTGATTCTCCTCGTCGTCTCTGACGAGCTATCGATCCCCCTTCGGCGTATACCGAAGAGAAGAGTGCCTCGCGAAATGCCACAGGTTTCAGAGAATCTTTACCACTCGCGCCCGCGAAATATTCCTCTCTGTACCCCCTTCCTTCACCACGATGCCTCCACCTTCCTTCCTCCTCCCTCCCCTCGCCCCTGCGATCGTCTTGCCAGTCTATTTCTTTCTCTCTCTGCCCACCCTTCTCCTTTCTTCCTTCTCTCGCTTCTTCGCGTTTACCTGATCGTTCTCTCAGGCCACGGCATCTTTCCTTCATCCTTTTTTTCCTTTTTTGTCCGTCGCTTTCCTTTCCGCGAATGTTCTTCGGACCTTCTTTCTCGCTTGCTCCGTCGTTCGCGCCGACAGCACACATACCTACCTGTATATACATGTGTGTGCACGCGCCCTCTGTTCGACTCACGAGACATAACCTTATCGCGAGGCTCGTTTTGTGACGGAGGCGTGTACCGAGGCAACGCGTTGCTTTCTATCGATTAAGGACCTCTTCGATGCTATTGTTCGATGGTCTTAAGGATCGATACCGGCAGATTTTTGTTTTCCTCCGGTGTTACGAGCTATCATCGATCTTTCTCCCGGGGAAAAATGTTAGACTCACGGACAGATTAACATTGTTTACAGTTTATGTTACATTCGGCTGCAACTCGGACACGGAGTCCGCGCGTGACTTTTATCGTGTTTAATAAATACCCGTGTTTATTGTATCAGAAGATAGTTCGAAGAATTTATGTTCCGAAATGAATGATTTTCTAGACGTTGAACTGTATCTTCACGTTGATTCTTTTGAAAAAATCACCGATACGGTCCAAAACATGCGACGTACGAGAAAAAAAAAAGAACGTAATGGTCGCCCGCGTGCCGGCCATAATTAGCCATAAACAAGTGGTCTCTATAAATTATATCACGGTGGACTGGTTAAGCTTATTACGAGGGTCGACCATAGACTACTGAAAAGCTGTCAAGATTATTATAGGGTCCCATGAAAAATTGACCATCTCATGAATGTGTCAATTCGTAACCAGACGACTACGTAAGTATAGTTCTTCGCCATTCTATTTTATCCTCCTTTCGTGGACGACAATTATGCAGGTACATATATTTTTTTTATGGGAAGATGCCGTAAAACCAAATTTCCTTCATCTTCTTAGTCTTATAATTAGTCTTAATGATTAGAAGGTAAAATAGAACGTCGAAATTTTTAAATTGATTTCTTTAAAATAATAAAACTACTATCTATTTGATTAAATCTATAGATCAACAATCATATAGGAAATACAAATAGGTAAATAAATCAATCCATTAATTGACTCTATCAAGTTTAGTTGGTTTCTGGTAATCTGTTTAGTTGTCTGGTAATCCGGCTATCTGTTCTGATACAAAAATTAAGGAATTTTTTGAGAATGGAATTGTCCAATTGGTTTTCATGTCAATATCAAAATGCAGTTTCTTTACTATTGTGGATTTTTTTTCTTTAAGAGGATTTTTTTACTATTGTATTGTAAATTTTAGCAATAAGTAGGTACATACATCTAGATATATAGAATTTCATAATCACGAAAATCTCCGAGTATTGCATTTTTTTGCACGTTTTATTCGCAACTTGATCGTGTTGCGCCAACTTTTAAAAGGTAATAAAATGTTGTAATACATAATAATTGTGTGAAAATCAATTAACAAAAAATTGATGCTTCTTCCCAAATCAATTCCTATTATATCTCCAAGTATTTTGTCTATAATCTATTTTAATGAACCGAATGAAAGAACGAATAATTTTTTCAAGAATAACAAATTTGCTTTTTTATGTAAGTACGTATGCTTCATGCACAAAGAAAGAAAAGCACAGATATGGAAAATGTAATATTTCAACTTTAATTTACAAATATCTACCTGTAATTAAAATACTGATAATTGGTTTATTTAGTAGATATAATAACAAATATTAGATAAAAATGTTCCTATGTTTTATATACTTTTGTATGTCATAAGTAGTACGTATTTTTAAATTCTCCATAAATGCATAAAAATCTGTAATCTAATGATAACCGAACAGAAAAGAATTTCTTTCCAATTCGTAATTACAATTGCAAGTGTATACATGATACTTGCAGTTTGAAACACCTACTTAATAGAAATAAAATCGTTCTATCCGCGTTTGGCGCGTAGTTCGTCTTGCAAAATCGCGAAGTCAGTTCCACGAACAAAGAAATACGATTAGTTTTTCTTGTCGGTTGACGTGGTGATTGTACCTGTGACGAAAAAAATATATGTCACAGGTATGACAGGCTATTCGTTCCTACGCAATGCCGCGCTATTGTTCTGCGGTTGGCTCGTCTGACCCGACAAGACGATAAATGGGAAAATGAACGTGGCCTGCGAGTTACGATCTTCCGTCTACGGTAATTATTATTGATTTTCCAGCGAATCGTCATGGTTTATTTAGTTCTTGCAATCAAATACGAGGAAATTACGAACTGATATTTGAAATAAAATATTAAAAAATTTGAGAAAAATTCAATACATTTCTTTTTCGTAACTATTTTTCTATTACAAAACATAATTTCCAATGTATAAGGTACAGTTATCTCAAAATAAATAATACAATACTTATTTACTACGTTCGATTCAAAGTTTTGAACTCCTTGATAAATAAGCGTATTCACCGTGTCTGACTATATACTGGACAATTCTACTTTACTTGTTCTAGTTTGAAATACATAAATACAGTAACTTACGTAACATATATCACTACTAATAAAAAAAAAATGTTCAATGTACCAAATATTTAAAAGTTGTTTACATACATACGCATTTATCATTTTTACTAAAAAAGTTGTTTTTAATTAAGATTAATTAAAAGCTTTTAATAAAGAAAAAACATAAGTAACAATAACGTATTTTATTTTATTTTTTTTCCCTTAACAAAATATTTGTAGATATTAAATACAGATATAACTTTCAGTAGCATTGTACTAGCGTTTTTGTACTATACATAAGCGGCAATATTTTCGTTTCATATGAAAATCGAATAGATCTAAGATCTATTCCTGGAAGGTCTGAATAATCATATATTATTAATCACTGGTCATTTGGGCAGATCCTATCCATCTTCTGTATGTAACATTCATTGTTTCTTCTACTAGATTATCTATTGGGTGTATTATGAGAGGTATGGATGCTAAACCAATAATAGTTGGAACCCATTTATTTTTTAAAGACACGTTATTACTTCTTTTTTGTATAAATTGTACAACAGCACAAATTCTGTTAATTGTGAAACCAGGCACAATCACAGATGCAAACGATTGCCATAATAAGGTGTCTGACATAGAAAGTACAATATTTTTTGTTGCTTTTGGAGCTACATTATTCTGAAACATATAATTTATACTTATAATAATCTACTGATTAATATATGTGATATATTTAAACAATATTTTCTTTATCTTTCACTTGCTTGATAAGCTTTAAGACCATTGTTAATTGTATCTGCAAGAACATATCCACTGGCTATAGCATAACTGAACCATACAATTGAATTTGGAACTATAGATCTAAAAGCTTCTCCAACTTCATTTGCATATCCTGGAAAAAAAATTAAAAATGTCATGCATAATATATAATACATAATATTAATGGCAAAAAGATACTAAAATACTATTTAAAAAAATTAACTAAATTGCTTTTTATTACCTAAATATCTAATAGGTGTATCACGATATAGATTCACTTCTTTTTTTATATCCATAATAAAAATCTTATTTTTCAAACTCTTGTGTTACTAAACATAACCTATCTTTGTGCGTTTAACGCGTTACTCAATATATTAAATAACACATTGGCGTAATATCGTTTTCTTCCAAAATATAAATTATACAATTTACAAGTACGCTTTAGTAAAATTATTATAAGAAATAATTATTTTACAGCAGTTACAAAATTAATTATAAAAAATTATAGTCCTTAAGAAATTTAAGGAATCTATTATCAAAATTTGGAACCTAGGGAATTTTATTTTATGGTAATCCTGTTGAAATATCAACAATTTGCACGCGGTAAAAAATTCAAAAAGTGTGAAGACAAAAGTATAAAAAAATAAATTATATACAATTTAATTTACTCGTGTAATAAAAAAAATAAATATATAGAAATATCACAAGACTATCTAAAAGTTTAATTTCTAGTAATATTTCTACTATATAAATCTTTATAAAATGTGATGTAAGATCATTATAGGCTTCATTGCTAAGTAAAGTTTAAATTGAATAAAAAACAGTAATGGACAATATGTAAAATAACTAATACATACTTAAAACAATTGCAACAAAGTTAATAAACGTTAATTACGTAATTGAATGTTACTAGATGTATCGAAATAAGTAACATAATATCCGGAATATATTTAGAGAGAAAAGGAGAATTTGATAAATAATAAAAGTCTGGATAGCAGAATATAGAAACGTTACAATAGTGAATTTTATTAAAGTACGCAAGTATGGCGTCCAATCCTATTATTTCGTTTGTGTATAACATAACCTTCCAAAGCCCTTTAAATAAAAAAAATGTTATTTCAAATTTTAACAGAATAGCTTGTTCTTCCAGAAATATGACAGGACCGTAATATATTCGTAAGTGAAAATAGTTCGTATATTATCATTCAAAATGATAAATCTCAATTTAATTAGAGAATACTTTAGAGTGCAAGTTAATGAAATAATTTGTTGGTGGTGGTTTTACATCAATGAAATTTCATGGCAATTGCTGATAGCTGTTACCGCGTATTTTTGCGTTTGTATTTTTCTTTATTCTATCTTAAGGAAGGTTAGCCACACAGCGTGGCAACTTCCAGGTCCACCTGCCAGAATACTATTAGTTACAGCTCATCCTGATGATGAGGTCATGTTTTTTGGCCCATTGGTGTATTGGGTTACAAGATCAAAGGCTAGTGAGATTTACCTCCTCTGTCTTAGTAATGGTATGTTTATCAATCTCGTCTAAAAATAGAACATTCTGAAAGTTAGAATATTACTATATACTATTATAGGTGGAGATAGAAAGAGGAAAGAAGAACTGTGGGAATGTACAAAACTCTTAGGAATTCCAGAAGATAATGTAACTATAGTAATGTAAGAAATTACATGTATTTATCTAATTTACATAATAACTTGATGATTATTTGAATGCAGTTAAATATTACTCTTTTAATCTTCTATCTTAGTTCAATAAATACATGTATAGGAGTACAGAGTTACCTGATGATCAAAATGTACAATGGCCAACAGAGATAGTGGCAGAGTGTATTTTACAACATGTAGAAAGTTATAAAATCAATGCAGTTGTAACGTTCGATAGACATGGCATAAGCAAACATAAAAACCACATTTCTTTATATTTTGCCATAGCTGCATTATGCATAGAAAAAAAAGTACCATATTGTTAGTATCATTTATTAAAATCTTAGATTGACACAAACAAATTTAAATTAACTTAATCTCTTTTCAGATTGTAAGCTATATGTTTTAGAGTCTGTGAATATAATTAGAAAATATGTACAAGTTTTAGATTTGCCAATTAGTTTATTATCTGCGTCATACTGGTATTTAGTAACATATGATCAAAAAAATATGATAAAAGTAAGTGTTATTATAACTTAAAAAAAAATTTATTTTATAAATAAATTACCTTTACAGAAAGCTATGACTGCACACAAGTCTCAGTATGTTTGGTTTCGAAAATTGTACATGATTTTTTCGCGATATACATTTATTAATACCTTTCAAGAAATGAGTGCTCTTGATCTTGAATTGGATCTCCAGTTTGATGATGAATAATTCATATTATACTTTCATAATTTATACTATTGTACAAATTGTAATTAATTGTACATAAAGAATTAAATTTGTCTATTAATATATAATAAAAGCATTATAACATTCTCAAAGAAACTTTTAAGATATTTTTAAACATTTAAACGAATTAAATAGAAAGTATTTTTTATTCAATCATACAGAAATATACAAATGTTTAAAAATAAAAATATATTTTAAAGAAAATAATAAACTCATTTTTATTGTACATACATAATTCGTGCATTAGATTCTCTTATATAATTATTCTAATAAAGTACGATCTTTAATTTGATATGTTCTTATTGCATATGTGTAATACAAGATTTATTTTCATCTTATTGTGCGTATAACAAAATTTCGAATTACTATCAAAGAATTTGAGCAAGTACAAAATTATTGCAAGTTAAACTTGTATTCTAGATATATATCCATTTTTTAAATCTGTCCCTTAGTAATAACATACAATATATATGACAATTTTTCATGATTTAAATCACATTAAATTTGGCACAGTTAAGATTTGTGCATAAACTATAATTTGAACTACTTTTCTATTGTCTTTTTAACATTTCACAGTATAATTTGATCTTTTATACAATAGCAATAGATCTGTGATATGAGACAACTATCCATGCTGGAGAAATTACAATTATTAAATTATAGATTCTTTAGATACTTTTTCATTTGCTAAATACAATTAGAAAATTTACAAAATAATTATTTGATTTTTCTTTCCTCCAGCACAATTAAAGCACTTCACTAGTAATACATCATGTCAATGTTCTTTAATTTTATCCTAAAGAGGTACTAAAAAGTTGCACTTTTTTGTATAAAAAAAATTTCTGTCTGAATGATATTAAATAGACCATAATAATACAATCTATGTTCATAAACAGTCTTATATAATATAAAGATATTAAACAAACTTGTAATATCAAACAATACATTAATGAACAATAGAAATTCATAGATATGAATCATAAGTATATATATGTATATATTTATGTAGAAAATAATTTAGAAAGTATATTCTTTATGTGCTTATGTTACTTGTATCTTGCACATATGTACTATACAATTTCGCTACAAATAAAAAATACTTTATCAACGAATATGTATGAAATATATGGAATGTTTTCGAATATTTTATACTTTATATAGAAACAATTAAATGAACAATGTTACGAAAGATAAAATCTTATATCTCTAATCATTAATGAACTCATAACTTTAAATAAAAATAAATGCTTACAAGACAGTCGCAGAAAATGGACGGCATAAAGTGTTCCCGCAAGATCCTCAATCAGTAAACTACTACAATATTAATCGATTAGTAGAATACTGAATTTAGATACATAGAAGAGAATAACATCAAATCGTCATAAATTCTTGTAGAGTAAATATCTCCAATATTTTGTAAACAAGAATGTATAGAGTTATAGAGGATTCATCGCGAAGATCTCGCGGGCCGTATCCTAGAATCTATCTTTAGCACGATGGTGCGAAGTCAGAGTTCCCATTCCGGGTTGAGGAGAATCTGGATCTCCTGGATCTTGAAGATATTGAAGTTCTTGCAGTTCTTGAAATTTTTCATGATCTCTAATGTGTGCGTAATTAGCAGACAAACACATTAAATAATGTATGAGACTCAATACAACCAACATGGCAGCTGCAGTTGCTAAAATAAACATGATCTCTGCTTTTTCAACAAAATCCTTGCAAAACAATTTCACTTCTTGTGGTCCACATATTTTCATATCATCCACCCTTGTATTATTTGGGAATATAAAGCCTTTAAGAAATATAATATACGAAATTTCATTTTTTTATATGATTAACGAATTAAAAAATATATTTAAAATGTATATTATATAAATTATACTTACTAAATTGAGTAAAATCAATACATTGGTCAAGAGATTGAACACGGGGATTGCTACATAAACCCCAAAATATAGTAAAAACCCAAGCAATTATAATCAAGAATGCAAATATTAAAAGCCAGCCTAGTTGTAGTATATAAGTAATTGTCATGAACTAAAAAGTATAAAACTCTTTTTGTTATTTCATATTGTAACACGATAATCAATAACATTAGAATTACATACAACAGCACAAGAGATGCGTCCACCAACTCTAGATCTCCAGGCTCTATATACTTTATGTCTTGTAGCTCCAGTTGCAAGACAACCAACACATAATATCATAAAACCTAAAGCTGCCATACTAGCACCAATTGTTGCAAAAGTTAATTGAACAGGCTCCAACCATCCAAGTCTTAAATGAAATACCTTCAATATATAATTATTAGAGTTAATTATAGATATATAATATGTATAAAATCATTAAAATAGGATTATAACAACAACTTACTTGATCCATCATCAAAGAACTTAATGTAACACCTCTGTACATTGTACCACAGAATATACCTACTCCTAAGCAACACATTATTGTTGCAATAAGAGTTGCATATGGCACTCGGGCCATGCAATCATTACACATACTCGCTACAAACAATAAAAAGATAATTTATTAATGATTTGGTACATATAAATAAATAACATTGTATCAAGAGCAATGCAGAGTACCACTGACTTTTTAATTTTATATACTAGTAACACATAAATTTATGTAAAAAAAAAAAAACTTACTACAAGATCGAATTTCATCAAGCCCATGAAGACTTTTTTCGGAAAATCTATCTATACTAATATTACTATCGAATCGTCTACGTAACGGTATACTATCGTTTGTACCTTGATGGTTTCTCATGTTTAATTACAAACAACTTCAACATGCGTTTGAATGAAACGTTAAGCGATGATTAAAACTTAAAACGATGAATGAGTAATCTTTTCATATGTATGACAGATAAGATTACGATGGATATCGAACGCGATTGCCCGCGATATTGAAGTTAACCGAGTTGCTAGAAAAGATTTTTATTCAAAGAAGCGAGTCAAGTTCTTTTTTTTTTTTTGCATGCGTACATAAATCAACAAATTTTTTTGCTTACCCATCCTTCGATTTTAATTCAAGGTTAAGTCCGTTTCAGATGGGCACTGCCCGTTGTTGATTCCGAGACTACAATGCTAGAATTCTCTCAATTAATGTCGTAATTGAATATCATTCTACTGTATTAGTGAATAACATCCCACACACTTCTCGTAATTACACATCCGCACGTTACACCGCTCGTTAATAGAGATTCTACGAGTTATGACAGACTGCTATTATTAATTGTCCCTTAAAATATTTTTTTATATCTTACTTATATGATTTGGCAGAATGAACAAAGATATGTTAATATTGTACGACAATTGTTGCGCTTTAAGTCAAATATATATTTTTTCAAATAATATCGTTTGTTTTTAAATTCTTTAGAGCGAACCAATATGGCGACAAAAGGTAAAAGTGAATGGGATCGTTGTCCTCTTGAGGACTCGTTGTTCCCATTTACTGCAATCAATTACTATTCTAGTAACGGATTTATAATTGTAGGCTTTATTCATTTAAATAGTTTTATTTTAAATTTCTTATACAATAACAAATATTCGGTTTCTTTTGTTAGAGTCTTACATATTAAAATAAAACGGATATTCGGTTCTTTTATTACAGTCTTATATTAAAATTCAGATATAAATTTACATAAAAAAAAAAAAAAGAAATATTACAATGTATTTCTTTTTATACTTGAAAAATCATTTACTTAAGAAATATTGTATATATGCTAGGTAAATATATAAAAATATAATTTTGTTCCCATAAAATACTCTTTACAAAAGTTAAATAAAGTATTGTTATTTTCTTCAAAAATAGTGCAAATATTGGCTTTGATTATTTTTAAATTAAATAAAACAGGAAAACTAGTCATTTGTGCGTCGCCAATTTTTAAAATTTCTTAAATTTATTTTAAAAATAGAAAAATATATTAATAATTCTATTTATTAATAAAATTCTATTCATTAATAAAATTTTTCTTAATATAAAAAAATTGTATATTAAAAAATATACTTCGTCACTATTTTTAACTACAGTCAATATCTGCACTAATTTGAGGAAATAGTTTGGGACATTTTATTTAACCCACTCTTTATACTTTTATATGAAACATTTGAATATTTAAATATATATAATTAAAAACTACCGAATGTTTTTGTGCTTTGGTTGAAGAAGATATTTCATAATTTCAGACAAGTGGCCAATTTTTTCTTTAACAATATGCGGCAAATCCACGTTTTGTTGATAATGATGATTATATTTCGTAACAATACCATTATTACTTTCATAGATTATACCACCGCCTTTAGGAATTACCTAAAAAATAGTAAAATTTGATGCTTTTTCGTTCTAATAAATTAATTTTTTTAATGCAATTTAAAAGTCTACTTACAGTTAAAGTAGAACCATCTTTGTAATTGACATGTATCTCTCCAGAAGATAATTGTGTCGCAGTACCTATACCTGGTACTGCTATTTTACAAAAACTATTACTAATATTTCGTATAGAATTTGCTTTTCGTGATCGCGATGCCACAGTAGACGTAACAGAACTAGCATCAAAGGATGGCATCTGAAATATTAATAAGCACATGTATATCATACTTCATAAAAAAAAAACTTTGATTATTTACTATGGGTATATTGTTCGTTGCCTGTGAAAGATTTTCTTTTCCTTGTACACAAGGAGAATCATTTAAGGCTGTATTAGGCCTACGTCCAATGATAATGGGAAAGCAAGAATATCCTGTAGCTGTTTCTAAAGATGTTAAAGTAGATTCTAACAACAAACAACGTTGATAACACTCTGAATAGTGTTCATAGTAATTATCTAAATGTGACGGAAATTCGCCCTCGACGTAAGTAGGACCGTCATTTCTTTCTATTATTTTAACAATACCATCAACACGTTCAATCTACAATAATGAAAATGTTAATTTCTTCAATATTTGTTTATAATTTATGATATTTATTTCTATACCTTTACTCCATCATAAAAGTGAATTTCACAATTTGGATGTGGTCCGTTTTCCATAAAAAGACACTTGGATCGTTGAGTATACACCGTTAATTTCGGAGTTTTCATTTTCACAAGCTTTATAAAACGAGAAGCATATATATATTTTTTATGATGACGGGGAGGTAAATTTTCATATGAGTAAATGCTATCTGCTCCACGAATTGGTAATGGGAGTGGTTGATTGCTAACGTCGGTTGAAGATGTTGGTTTATAAAGAATAATTCTTAAACCATCATTCGATATTCGACATACTTCATTAATTTTTTCCTGTAGTAAAATGTCAATTTAAAATTAATTTAAAACTTAATTTTAATCATACGTACCACCCCATTCCTACGTTTGATCAATTCGACGCAAACTTCTCCATTATCTAGAATAGTAAAAATCGCAGTTTTTGTTTTATGCCTCGTTTGTTGTAATCTTTTAGAAGACAAAGGGGAAACTTGTAGCTTTCCTCCATTTTCTGTACTCTCAAAACAATTTTCAGCTTTTTCTTTTTTTCTATGCCTGTCAGTCTTATGTTTGTCAACGTCTTGATGCACGTTGCAACTGTGCTCACATTGTGAAAAAACTTTGCTTTGTGATGTCAATGGTATTCCAGTCAATACAGAACTTTGTTTAGTATGATAATCTATGCCATTTGTTTTACGTGAATACGTTCTTATAATAGGCTCGGATGAAGGATCGCTTTTTGTACTAAACATAGGTCCAAGAGCATTAGACATAATAGGCGTTGACGGCCTTCTTTCTTCCGATCTACAACGCATTCTTGTCCTTCCATATGAAGATAATGTTCTTCCAACCCCTGAATCAATAATACCATATCCTAATAATCCTTTGTTCATACTATTCTTCTCCTATTAATACAAATATTTGTAATAAACTGGATGACTTTTTCATACAATTCTTTTTGTTAGCTACTTACGCTGTGCAATCTGTTTTTTTTTAAATTAGTGATGAATGGATGTTTTGGAATATCACGCAAATGAATTCTATCTTTTGGATTCTTCTTTAATAATTTGTCTATTAGATCTTTGGCATTATCTGATAAATAAGCTGGCATGACATAATCGGCCATCACTACACGTGTTAAAGTGCTTTTAACAGCATCGGTATCAAATGGAGGTTTGCCAACTAAGAGAGTATACAGCATGCATCCTAAACTCCATACATCTGCTTCTAAACCATGTGATGACCTTGTTGCTATCTATAATAATATACAAAATTAGTGTTGCAGTCTAATTATTCTATATTTCTTGCATATATTCATAATTTATTTAATAGACCTCAGGTGATATGTAATTGGGAGTACCACACATAGTTAAATGTTTTTCATCAGGCCTTGTTAATTGGGTAGCTAGACCAAAATCTGCTATTTTCTATAAATTAAAATTGAACGGCTTTCAGTTACATTCAGTTTAATTACCAAATTCAAAAATTATATAACTTCACCAAATAATTTTTCTTACCACTTGCATGTCTTTAGTCAAAAGCAAATTAGACAAAGACATATCTCTGTGAAGTATCTGATGTGAGTGTAAATACAATAATCCTTGTACTACTTGCTTAATTATGTCACCAGCTTGTTCTTCAGACAGTGCACGAGAGCCTTGCATTTTAAGATAACGTTGAAGCTCTCCGTTATGACATAATTCTAATACCAAATAAACATAGTTAGCATCTTGAAAGCATGTATACAATTCAAGTATGGCTGGATTCTTCAGTTTTGAGTGAATTGTGATTTCTTGACTCACTCTACCCACCATCCCAGCAGCTTGCATCAATTTTATATCGATCTAAAATTGTTTACAAAATAAATATAGATTCATATGTTTATAGATATTTAACCTAAATCATCGTTTTAAAAATTACCATTTTTATTGCAACCTCCATACCGCTGCGAAGACATTTTGCTCGATATACACTAGCAAAACCTCCTTTTCCGAGTAAGTTTAATACTTCGTAATCCTACGATTAGAAGTCATTAATTAAACGTTACAACGACGCATGCAAGCGGACAAATTCAAAAAGCTAACCTCTATGCGTTCACCGAAAACTCCAGGTAACGGGGGCATTACCAGCCTTCGAGTCATCAAATCATATAACTGTTTCAATCACCACTTTATAGTTTTCTTTTACATGTAGTTCCTTCGAAATTAGATGTATTTAAGAAATATATCGGTAAATTTGTAAATAGAGATGACATGTCGCATTCGCCATATATAAATTATAGTATGCTTTTGAACTCAGCAGATGGCGTTTTAAAAACAATCCTAATTATTATTCAAAACAAAATACGTATTTGTCTATAGAAATCAATTGTAATTCGATAACAATGTTTAAATGATCGTCGATAAAATTGTTTTAAAGTTGTATCTTGAGTCGTCTTCAATGACTCAATTCATCCTCTATGCTATCAGGACATGCAACTAATACATGTTCCACATATATTTATTACAAATATATAATTTTTACATGTGCATTTCGATGTTCAAATTGTATAAAATACGATATATAAAGTATATATGTATATATTTGTAAGAAATAAACAATTATTCAAACGAATGTTTTCGATCTATTAAATATACTTTGTAAATTTTTATCTATGTATTTTATAAGTCAAATAGAATACTGGAGGGCAGCAGAGGATCCAGTTTTTAAGATGCAGCCACAAAAAGTCGTAAATTAATCCATTTAATTAGTTTTTGTTTTTAATGAACATTTGTTTGACTCGAGGACACTGAAATGCTAGCGCCGCGTAGTGGTGGAATGATGGAACTAATCTTTATTGTCCTTGTCGCACACTATTGCTTTCTTTATCTTTTATATGACATATCTATCCTTGTCAAACACTATCGCTCTTCTTGTTTACGATAATGCTGCCATCTATCGGAGTTTATTTGTTTATCCTTTTAGTTCAGTCAGATTCGTATAATGCTTAGGTGATAGCACCGTCGCAAACAAAGAGCACAATAATGTGCGACAAAGATGAATATATATTGCGTGCTGCCATCTAAGCACCTCTCAAATTAAATTGGAACTAAAAGGATAAATGGGTAAAATCCGATAGATGGTACTACTATCGTAGACAAGGAAGATGTGTACAACAATAACACACAGCACGTGACAGACAAGGAGAGTAATAGCAATAAGGACAACAATAAGGTTTAATTACACCATTCCATCGCTACGCGGCGCTAGCATTTCAATGTCTATGAATCAAATGTTTTGTTACAAAACTAATTAAATAAATTAATTTATGAACTTTCACAATGGCATCTTATAAATTAGATTTTCTGCATTTTCTCAATATTCCATTTGACCCATAAAATGCATGAATAAAGATCTACAAATTCTACTTAATAGATCGAAACACTAGCTCGAATGATTATTTATTTCTCGCAAATTATTATTCGAATCTGAGTCAAAATTGCTTCAAAATTAAAATAATTGATTACTTAAGGATTAATTAATTCTAACTGAACGTTTATTTAAGTCTCTTAATAATATACAAAAAGTTTTATAACAGTTTAGTAATGATAAGTGAGCTTAATTTAATAAACTATGATATGATAAACTAAATAAGCATTGAACAAACGCGAGCCGACAAAAAAATTTTAGTTTTAGAATTATAAAATAAAGAGCTATTTATAAGTTTTAAATATTAAGACATAAAGTGACGTTAATTAAACATATGTAGGTTAGTAATAAAAATACTCAAATTTGTTGTGAATTTAAACATTTTCAATTTCCGTTAACTATAATTCGTTCTAAACAACTGTAATTACAAATTAAATACAAATAATATACAGCATAATTTTTACATTATGCGTTCGAATTGTATTAATGTTTTAGCGAAATTGGACGAAATATCGAAATGCTGCACAATCTTTTGATATTAGCATATAATTATTCTACAATATAAATATTTTGATGTTTAGTTCTTATAATAAATACCTTACATTTAATTATTAGTTTCATTTTCACTGTGTAAGGAAATAATTCATACTATAATTGTACACTTATTACATGTTTCATTTATGAATTATTTGTGGCACAGGATTTATTCACATCGCGTTCCAGACCTATGATATAAATTACCATACATAACAAGTATGGAATATTTGTTTCACGAGGTCAGTCTTTAAAAATAATACAACTACAATTAATAATTCAGCGATGTTCAGTACTTTTACTAAAAAAAATAGAATGACAATACTACATTAAAGTAAGGAATTATTTTGAGTATTTGTAGGCATAGAATTCTGACAACGTTGCGCCGGTGGTTGATAAATGGGCTGTGTGCTTCTTTGCTGATTACGTTTCTTGTTATAAGCAGTTTTATTTGCAGGAACAACGCCACTTCCACCTCTTCGAAATTCCATACCTGCTACAGACACTTTTCTATACCTCTATGTACATTAAATATGAATAGTCAACGTAAAAGAATTACAAATTTACCAGTTATGTGATTTTGAGTTTGGTCATATCGCAGCTGCCTATTATTAAATCGTTGATCTGATTGTTTTTGATCCATAACATAATCTGGAACTTGGTTCTGCAATTAAATTCAAAATATTTATTACTTATGTATGATATTAGGAACACATGTACATATGTTTTACGTACATCATCTGTTATAGGTAAGCAATCCACTTGAAGCACTTCTTCGTAATTTTCAAATCCTTTGAACTGAACAACACAAGTTCTGTCTGATACTCCAGTTACTTTCGCGTTATAATACTATATTTTAAAAATATTGAATGAAAATCAAATGTCAATACTATTGATAATATAACATTTTAATTTATGAACAATTATCTTACTCTATTATCTTCCCAGTATTTGGCTAAGCATTTATCACCTACACGCCATACCCAAGTACTGCCAGTAGAAGCTATATTGGTATTTTGACTGGTATTATAGTGGCTTTGATTCCTTTGGCTGTTGGGTTCTACGGTCCCCTTGCTACCAGAATTCTCATTTGGTTGAAATCTGTTCAGTTGGTTTTTGTAATTTTTATCAGTTGTATTTGCAGGATAAGCTCTATATGTTCCATCTTCTTGTGCTCGATTATGCCTACCGTAAGAAGCATCATAACTTTGTCTATTCCTGGTGTCGGTCTCATAGTGATTATTACTCCTGCCAGCACCAGAATGTTTTCCTTGTTGATCTTGCGAAGCTTTGTAATAATTATTACTATTCATAATGTTTGCTCCATCTGTACGAATTTGTATATTGGAATTTCGAGAATCATTTACTTGAGATTTCTGGTACGTTTTATGTAAATTATCTTGCTGAGGATAATTATAATTATCCTGATTTCGTTGAAATCTCGGTGGTCTATTTTGTTGAGAATGATTCCCCCCGTTATATTGTAAGTATTGAGTACTAGAATTATTGAAGTTTGATTTTTTGCTACCCTTATTTTCTTCTAAATGTCTTGGAGGAATTTGATACCCACGACCTCCTTTTTGAGATCTATATAAAAAAGAAGTTCATTAACGAGTGTTTTTGTAATTCATACCATCGTAAAAAGATTATTCGTAACGAGGTATACCTTCCACTTTTTCCACTTTGTGATTCGTTGCTTTTAAATTCCATTTTATCAAAATTATTTTCAGTATTTTGGGTATAATTATTCTGAGGTGGATTGCTCGATTCCGTAGATTCAGATTGTAAAGGCAATTTATCTTCAAGAAAATCAAAAAGAGATATTTTTCCACTACTTGGTTTACCTTCTTCGACTTTTTTATCAAATCGTTTATTTCGTGGTTCACGTGATTCTCGTGGTTCTTTAAACGTACTAAAATAATTGAAACAGAATTGATAGTCAAAAAGTAGTAAAAAATAATATATTAAAATAGACATAAACAGAAAATGGATATACTTGTGCTTGCTGTCTGTTTTTTGTAAGCTTTTTAAAGCCTTATCAACATTATTTCGATTAACTTTTAAGGCATATTCTGCTTGTTCTATAGAAAAGCCTTGATCTACAATTCTTTGTACACTGTGATCTAGAAGCTATAAAATAAATATATAAGAACAAAATTATTTTAGATATGTATATTACAGACATTTCATAGAACATACCTGCTTATTTCCTCCACCAAAAACTTTCTTACTGCCTTGCTTAGCAGCTTCTGCTATAGCATCCTTCCGCTGAGCTTCAAATTCTGCATTCTCTTTACTAGATTTTTCTTTTTCTGCTAAAGCTTTGAAGTTTTTGTCATGTTCAGAAACTTTTATAATCTTTTTTCCAAATGGTATCCACGGTGGTGGGCCACCTTCTTCAGTGGATCTCATTCTTGTATGCAGTGCCAATTTCTGTTATAAAATACATTTCTCAATTTTATATATAATCATAAAATAAGAATATAAAATTGAATCATATAACATACTTTATTCAGTTCCCATTTCTCTACAAGATTTGTTACTTTTCCTCCAAGTACTTGTGCTATGTTTGATGGTCTTAACAAAATAATTCCATGAGACATTGGAACATTTCCACAACTAATCAGTATCTTCGTACCAGGAGGTGTATTTAAACTGTAATGATTAAGTTCAGTTCTTTGAATGATTTATAAAAATATTTATTAACGAAATAATTAATCAAGCATTAATTTTTTACCTTAAAAATGAAATATGTTCAACCTCTATAGCTTGAAAATTATTTTTACCATCAGTCAAGAAGAATTTTAATAAACGTGGAGCTGCACGAGATTCTTCATTGTTTTTAGGAGCAGCTACATTACGTATTTTCTGTATTTGTAATACAATATTACCCTGAACTATATCTCCTTGACCATTGCCAATTTCTCTCAAATCAAGCTATACAATACATTAAAAAAAAAAAATTAAAACATATGTATAAATAATCATTTTTTTCTTATATGTATATAGTTATATAAGAATCATTTTTTTCTTATATGTATAAAGTTATATAAGAAGTCGTTCTTACATCCAGTAATCGTTTGATAATTTTTTGTATGTCACTGACATTTCCAGAATCACTTGCAGTATGGTATCCATGATCTGTAATATACCTGATGCAAACATTGATAAATATTTATACCAAATTTATAATTTATTTAAAAAGCTATTTGCTTTTAGTGATATTCACAAATGAAATATATCACATTCTATACGTACCACCCCTTATCTTTCAATTTTTCCATAGTATGCACCGTTATTTTGTACTGAAGCCAGATTTTCTAATAGAACGATTTGGTTTTGGTTTGGTGACTTTCTCAAGTGAAATTTCATGCACGTTACATGCATACATTCGACTTGTACATAAACATGTGTCAGCTGACGTTTAAACCAATAAAAAACAAATCGTCAAAGTATCAATAATTGCAATATCGAAATTAGTTACTTTTATGAATATAAGAAACCGTTTATTATACGTTACAAAGCCACTTTGCTTGTCCAAATAACGAACAAAAGGAACCGCGCCTATTAAACCTCGAATTCTTTGCCACCATCTTGAACATTTGGTACATTTTATGATCGATATATATCGGTTGCAGTAATTCAATATCGATACATCATATTCGTTATTTGAACGTGATACTACGTGTCATTTGTAAATTATAAACGAATGTAACGTTAATTTTTATTAAAAAAAAGTTTTTTTAATAACACTATTTTTATAACGATTTTAAATCTTGTCTACATGTAATAAGATTATGTAATATGATAGATATAAAGCTTATTTTTGTTTAAACAAAAATAAAGTCAAACTGTAATGTCATACGGACTTTAGAAGAAATCGCGCAAAAAAGCACAAGTAGATAAATGGATTAATTGAATATAACGTTATTTGAAATCGTTACTTGAAAATGATGCTTGAATACACTTATACGCGGGATAAATGTGCCACGAATATACATTAAATTCTAAAAGCAAATATTATTAATGCAGGACAATAATATTTTTCGAGTAGAATTTACTAAAAACACGACGGATAAAATATTAAAATTCTTTGTAAAAGATTATAAAATAAAACGATTGAATATTATTACTAACCTCTAAATAACTCGACAAGTTATTTTTAACCTATGATATTATTATAAATTTGTAATTTATTTGTTACAATCATTTCATAATTTAGAGATAAAACACATAGAGAAAAGCTAGAAATTTCACGCAAGATCATGCGAAACGTCTTACAAAATTAATAAATCAATTATGATTGATGAATTTTACAGGGGTCGCTACCATCAACTGACCCCCATGGTGGTGAAGAATAAGAAAGACATCAACTGCTGATCGGTCCAATTTGAGCTGATGATTATTGACTCGGGTGGAGTCTCGTTTGAACAAACGATGAAATTAGATCAGACAGGAACTAAGTTTGGAGATGACGGAATGGTATAGGCACGATTAAGAATACGACTCGCCCATATTACCAATGCACTAACAATTTTGTAAAGATTGAATTGAAACAATTATCATAAATTACTCTTAAAAATTACTGCCAATGCGAATGAAAATAAACTTGCTTCATGTTCTTGCTGATTTTTATCGATAAATGAAATGATATTTTTCGAAACAAGTATGGATTTATTAAGCTTCGTCTAGTTTCTATATTTAGGATTGATGTAGGAGGAATTAATATTTTATTACTTAATCAAATGTACCAAACAAAAAATAATTAAGGCGCGTCAAAGCGAATAATATTACACTTTCCCACTTTCAGTAAAATTATCATTTGTAAGCAGTTGATAATTATTATTCACAACAGTGTGTACTTGAGTTCAAACATAGAACTTCTTGGCATTACATTCTATATAATTTCATACATTTCATGGAATGCTTACGGGTTAGAAAAATATATATATATATATATATATATATATATATATATATATATATTCTATACCTACATATCCTAAATATACGAAAGTATACACTATACATCCTAACTACACAGAAACAAACATTAATTCATAATTTCACATATTCGCAAATCTCATACGCAATAGCCTACTACCAAAGAGAGGCTTTCTTAATGAACATGTACACCGAGTGATTGCAAGAATTCGATCGAACACAACATGTTGTTCGGTCGCGTGACATGCATCCGTCGTTTTTATCCGTCAATCATATTAAGCTTAGGAAGGACGACAATACACGCACGACCATCGTGCAAATCGAAATAAACTAGACCTAGATTACATCGATGCACACGGCCAATAACCGACGAACACGGGTCTTATAGAATCTCGGTTTCTCTCGGCTAACGTACGTGCTTTACTACATACATAAGTACACAATAGCAATATACATCTAGCATGCAACGCATTCATATAAGAATACGAGATGTATCTTGCTGCATATATATACGTTGTGACACGCAACGGTCGAAAACGCGGTCTTACCCCACTTTCGGTAGCTTCACCCTTCTCTCTTTTGAAGAGTAGATTCTCCGCGCGTCGAATCGCACACAATGAATACACGCAGTGTATAGAGGCGAGGACTTACGTTGGTTATGCACAGGTACGACGGGACGGGGATACGGTAAATGATGACTTGTAGTGGAAAAGGGAGATTCGACTAAGGAGGAACAGAAACAGAACGAAACGGTCGGGAGTGGAAGAGAGAGTTACAAACAAAAGAGAAAGAAGGAGAGAAGGAGAAATAATATGAAAGAGAGAGGGAAATAATCAGGTAGACTGAGCAACACGGTAAACGAGAGCAAGAGAGAGGGAGGAACAGAGAGGGAGAGAGAAAAAGAGAGAAGTCGTGTCGGTTTTACCATTTCAGTTTCACTCAGACCCGGCCTGAAATCGCGCGTGTCCACACGCCGATACTCGAGCCGCAGCTCTTCGTCTTTGAATTAAAACCGACAATTTCCCAGATCTCCGCGCCTCGTCTTGTAATACAAATTTCGTTCGACGAAACCTTGGGACTAAGTGATTTTTGCATTCTGCCGGCTATCCAAATAACACCCGATCGTGTTAATTGTGTCACGTTTCGTCGGCGAAAGAAATTGTTTATCTTTCAATCGCTGCTAACACCGGTGACGACGAAAGAGAGAGGCTGATCATACATAAAGTGTACATAAAGTCAAGTGAGTATGTATATATATATAACATTTCTCAATGATCTTTATCGACGTCAATCGTTAATTGCTACGTATAATTTGAATTCGGTACGGAGAAGAAATCACGATCGATTTCCAATCGTCAATCGCTGTTCTCCGCTTATTGATACGTCGATTCGATTAGAATTCTTCGTGATTTCACTCTCACGACTGTCTCGTCGTGAGATTCAAAAATTCGCGGACTCTCGGCTTCTTTCCACCCTCGCGTGGCATCAGTCCATTTCGACGAACGTGAATCAGTCAGGAAGTTCAATTACAACCGATTTACATGGCGCGTTCGAGCGATGATGCATAAATTTAGCTCACTCCCCCACGAGTGCAAACTCCATAAGGTTACGGTGGTCAGCGATGTTGCAAGTGGCAAGTGGTTCGAGTTACGATCGGATTTCGTCATACCGCGCGGGTAATTGCGATTTCCTACGATCGATCGTTGTGAACGACGAGCGTTGTGCTCGCGGCGAGATGCTCGTTCGTAAATTCGCACGATATTTCCAATCGAAACGGAAAAATCGTGACACATTGGCGTTGCTCGGTGAATCGTGTACCGTAACGGCCAAGAATTTCCCAGCATCCATATTGTTACGAAGCGTGGCATTGTTGCGATCGTTCGTTTCATGCGCCGTAGTTTTCTTGCGCCAAGCCAAGAAAAGAACGTGGTTGTAATCGTAGACCGCGCGTTCACGATGTTCGCGCGAGTTCCGGCGATCGTAGAACGTTCCACGGGTCTGTGTAAAACCCGGCGACCTCGGTTTCGACGTAACTTTCGACCGAACGAAAGGAGAGCCCCCCCTTCGGCTTTTTCTTCGATCGTTCCTCTTCTTGTTTCCTAACCACATCGACCCTCGCTTTCTTTCCAGGTCAGACGCCGTACGACGATGCCGTGTATCTGATTAAAACTCAAATCGATTTTGTATTCATATTTGTTAATGTCGTCTCGTTAGACTTGTATCAAATTTAAGGACGTTCCAAATCATTTATCGTAATATCAACACATCGTAATTTTCGCAGAAAATAACGCAGGATCGATCGAATGTTAGGGAATTCCTAGTCCGTGATATTGTGGCGCAATTCGAACATAAGAAACACGTTTTTCTTTTTTAACGATTTTCTCATCGTTGATTCAACCTTCGAACTGATTCGTTGAAACGTCCCAACGATTCACTGGCATTCCACGTTCTCGGGACGCGTTTTATCGTTTTATCGCATCGCGTAGTTTCTTTTTTTTTTTTTTTTTCCATACATAAACCGTTTCTACTGTCTGTCGGAGAAAACAATTCGCCGCGAGTCACGGCTGCAACCATGAAATTCGAAAGCTTCATGCGTCAATGGTGCAAGTATATCAGATGATGTCAGTTGGCGTGAGCTTGTTTTCGTTTAGTGTTTATGAATCATTCGGCGACTGTTTAACATACTGCATCGGAATGTCATACAGTTGCGGGTTTAATCAATCAGCTCGTTACACACGAGCAATTAACCCGTCGTTGTTAATACTGTGCAAACAGTTCGTAAATTATTAACCTGTTGACTGAGGATAATTTATCGGGGACATAATAATTCCATTATTTAAGAATATAATAATTTTCTCCATTTGTTTAAGAGAGATCGTCTCGTTTCCAAATTTTAGAATTCCTCCATTATCTATCCAGGAAAGTTTAATTTTTCATTGCGAGACTATACATGCTACTGTGGTTAAGAACCACATGACCTGGTTAATACTCGAGCGATCGCAATCGCATTCAGTCGGCTGGTGCCGCGTTTGTAAAAAAAAGAAAAATGCGTTATTGCTTGATGTCGCGAGGTTCTCGGCGGAAGAATGATCGATACGCGTCAAAGTCGCTCAAAGGGTCGCAAATACACCGTGTGGAAAGGAAACTGCGACACCCTAATTAAGTTAGTACCGCCCCCTAGCCGGTTGTTCGTTACTTATCTCTTCCAGGACAAGGAGGAAAGAAACGTCCGAATGATGTCACGTGAATCGTGGCGTGGTTCTCCAGTTGTTCTATTATTTTTACGTTTTACATTGCCGGTGGATTACTTAATGCGAAGGGAGACACCACTTTCTCTCTCGTATAACGTGTCTTTGAGGCAGTACGCCGGTGCGTGACCGTGTCTACCTTCTCGAGAGTGTCTACCACTACAGTCCGTTGCAAAATCGGGTGTTGTCCCTCCAGCGTACGTCGTTGCAGTATTATCATTGCGTAACGTTTGTTCTTCGTTTAAGGTGAACCTCAATTGTCGTCCATCGATAATTACACCGTAAGTTGCGTCAAGTTCAAGTAAATTCACCGTCACGTCAAGATTCTTCTTCAATTTGACGCAGTCTAGTGGGTCGTTGGAGTAACGAGTAGGGCGTTAGAATTTCAAGCAGCATGTAAACGAATGTGATACCGATCGCGATGTAGTGATGTTCATCCACGATGACTAAGGACTAAATGACAAAGGCGCGAACGTACACGCAATATCACGTGAGAGAATCGGTTTTTTCTTCCTCTTTTTTTTTTCTTTTTTTTTTTTTTTGGTTGCGTGACGAAAAACGTGAATTATAATTAAATTCAGGTAATCAAGGGCGACGAGTAGGGTACGCACGACAGTTAAATACACGACGAAAACGTAATATAACGCGGCTTTCGTGTTCCAGGTGCTAATTCGCTTTTATTATCCTCGATGAACAATAGCCGCGACGTCTATTGCCGAGGATCTCTTTATTATGCGAGTTTATCGGGACGATTCTTTGAATTGATTCTCCGCAGCGAATCGTTGTTTGCCGATCGACTTCGTCAGTATAATGGAGTGGCTTCTACGATGGATTAAATATCAGTATCCGAAACCGGAAATTCTCGTCGCGTCGTTTTGGAATGCTCGCGATAAAATGTCATGCAATTGTCCGATGGAAGTGCGAGAATGAAACTATAAAAAATAAAAAGTAAAAAAATAATAACGTAATAGATTAACCCGGGACTACCCACGTGGGGATCTAGTGCAGGTATATCCCGGTATAGATCCTCAGGTGGGTAATCGTGGGTTAAATCGCAGCCACAGAACACTTTATAAACATCGACGCTGCATTTTCCCGAACGGATAAGGATCGTGTAAGTAAGCTAATGCGCGTAATCGTAAGACGGAAATCGAAATGTTCGCGCTCATATATATACGTGTCAGGAAATTGTCTGTTCTGCGCGTAAATAACGCCATTATTTTTCCTGTCGTGCCATTTCCGAACTAGCCCGAGTTTCCTCTATCTAGGTCGAACTCGTTGGGAAAAATTGCGCGAGATTACGCGGTATGATAATTGAATAACTCCTACGATCATTTGAGAATTTAATTCCTCGAAATGAAGATGTTACATGCTTCTTCGAAGAAACGCGATAAGAATCACAAAAGGACGAGTATATCACAAACAGTGGACGCAGTGTAAAAGTAACTGAACGATTGCGAGAATGTGAAGTTAAAAGCATCCAGTTGTAATTTTCTCTTCTTATACAGGGTGTTTCGTAACTTTTGGAACCCACTTCGGGAGTTGATTGTACGCCTAAAAATAATGAAAAAGAGTCATATAAATATGTGTCCTATCTGTCTTCGTTTATGAGATATAATGAATTTTCTGTTTTAATTACTTAGAAGATGCTCGAAATGACCACGTTGCATTTGAAGACAAGCCTGCGCGCGTCTTGTCATTCATCTGGTTACTCTCTCTATCGTTCCTGGTGTTTCTCGAATTTGTCGGAAGTCTTGCTCTATTCTATTTCGTACTATTTCAACATTTTCAATCGATGTTGCGTATATAATAGATTTTAAATGTCCCCACAAATGAAAATCTAATGGATTCGAATCCGGAGAACGAGCATGCCATGTAATAGGACCTCGACGACTAATTCATTTATTTGCAAAGTGTTGATTTAAAAATTGTCTAGCCACTTGGCTAAAATGCGGCGGAGCTCCATCATGCATAAACCACATACGAAGTCTAATATCGACTGGAACTTCCTCTAATATTTTTTCGTGTAAACGCGTGCACAAAAAATTAACGTACTTTGTGCCTGTTAGTGTCCCATCAAGAAAAAAAGGTCCAATTAAAAATTTATCAATTATTCCTGTCCATACGTTTAAACTAAACTGGTGTTGATGTCTTGAATAACATGTGGGTTTTTTTCATCCCAATTATGATTATTATGAAAATTGAATATACCATCCCTGGTAAAACTAGCTTACTAGAGTTTGCTCTGTTTATAAAATTCATTATATCTCACAAACGAAGACAGATAGGACATATATTTATATGACTTTTTTTCATTACTTTTAGGCGACAATCAACTCCCGAAGTGGGTGCCACAAGTTGCGAAACATGCTGTATAAACGAATAAAAATTCGACACTTCTTACAGAAGTTGAAGAGTAACATATTGCAACGAATTATTCTCTTAAACGCACGCTACGAATAATATAATAGATTTTTGCATAAACTAAGCTTCGCAAATACCATTTCTAACGTAACAATGCATTAACCACCCTCATCTGCGCAAAGATCATCGTTCATCATGGCCAGCAGGTGCAAAACGATATTGCAATACACCTACATACACGTCTGAACGACCGAGCTCGATGTTCACGGCACGCAAAACGGATCGATCGCGATCTCTTACGTCATGTAAAGAGATCCACGAGTTAGTTACAAGCAATGGCGGGCATGAATAGTATGTGATTTGTGAAACAATCGAGCTGGGTCTTACTCATCGCATCGGCGATGATCTTGAAAACGTGATGCGCCTAGCTGTTGGCGGGAATTCACGCGGTCTACTTAGCAGCTGTACGTGATACACACATTGTTGTTATTGGCTGACTCATTCGACGATGTTTTACTTGTAAATAGATATATATACGATTGGAGTAATTCGAAGAGGTACTCCGAAAGTTACTGTGTGTAGCGAAAGCGGTTTATATAATCTTTCTTCGAACGTTTCACGTAGCGCATGTCGCACAAAAAAATCTTCTACAATGCATGACACAGGAAAGTTTGAAAATCCGACAATACACACGTGTATAATACGTGGTCGGAGTTGCTGAGTGTAAAAACTTGCCAATTATATCGTGACTTTTTAACGCCAGATTTGCAATTACGATAGAGAGAAAGTTTCACCGATAATCTGTCGAAACAAATAACTCGCGCTTGAAAGTTTAATCGGCAGGACACTTGAAAATTGCTAGGTTCTCGTACGTGGAATGTGAAAAATTATAATGCACTGACGTCGACCTCTAAGCAAAGTTCAAGGGTCAAGTAACGAATGTTTAGTAAACACATCATCGAAAACATCAGTACATCGATCTGCGTTTCAAGTAGCTGTTCTTATTGATCTATAGGAAACCGAGAATTTCCCCGCATCAATGAATTAAGATTGACGAAGGTTTGGGAATCGATCGAGACTCGAAATTAAAAGTGGCAAAAGGCGATGGCGTAATCACGGTCGATTGTCGGCAAGAATGTAGGTCGGCGGAAGGAAAAAATTGAGGACGCGATCACGAACTTTATGAAATCATGAAAGAGTTTTCTGCATGCCGTGACATCACCGAGGAAACGATTACTACTGATGGCTAGGTCTCAAGAATCACAATGACGAGGATTACGCGATCGTTTGATCCTTGTACGGATGAATCGCTGTTTCATTTACAAAATAGCGTTCCAAGGCTTCCCAAGTATCGACTATACTTTAAATTATTTTTAAAAATGTTTTTCATTCCACGTTTCCGTTTCGTTGGTTCACGTATTTATATTCGAGACGAATCGCAGCCGAGAAAAAAACGTGTGAATCAGTCGCAAAACAAGTTTGCTGATTATTTACGTTGATAATTTACAGTTTCTGCACCTTGTTGCGTTATACATATGTTTACAGTCAAGGGTACAATCTTTCATTTTCTCATGTGTCGTTTGCAGATTGAAATACAAGGGAAAATGGGATACGGCACGGAAATGGACAGCTGCGGCCGTTGTATGAAGTATTCGTTGTTCTTTGTGAACTTGATAATCTTCGTAAGTATACCAAATATGTTCAAGTTATCGCAATTACGATGGCAATGTTCTTCTACTTTATAAGGGCAACGTGCAAATAACTTTTCAGATCGGTGGTCTCGCGGTAGTTGGATTAGCAACGTGGGCCCTGTTGGACAAAGTACCATGGATAGGTGAATTAGTAGGGAACGATTTGCTAACAGGTGCCACTTACGTTCTATTGGCCGGTGGTGTCGTTGTCATCATAATATCGTTCTTTGGTTGTATCGGTGCATCTCGAGAAGTCAAATGCATGCTTCTCACGGTAAATTTTGTCACCTCTTTCTTTTTTACTCCGACTCGAAGGTCTTCGAACCTTTACAAGATTGAATTATACAACGTGCCGAAAGGAAAACAAAAAACTCATTTCAGTACTTCATCATCGTGTTCCTTCTGTTCGTGACCATGTTAATTGGCGGAGTCCTCGCATACGTGTTCCGCGAAAAACTAGTGAACACGCTTGAGAGGGAAATGTCGAGTTCGATGAGAGTTTACGATTCTCGTAAATCAGTCAGAGAGGCTTGGGATACGACGCAGTCGACGGTAAGCGCGAGACAAGAAACTCTCGAATCACGACAAATTTCATGCGTATAATTATTTCGAGCATCGTGAGAAAAAAAATCTCGTCTGACTTGGTATGATATCTCTCTTTTTTCTTTTTTTCTTCCATTCCTATGATTTTCTTTTTTTTTCTTTTTCTTTTTTTTAGCTCCACTGCTGTGGAGTAAACGGCTGGAGGGATTGGGGAATTCAGGGACTCAACGTGCCGGAGAGTTGCTGCCGCGAGATTCAACCTGGCCAGGTAAAGATTCATTTCCTTAACAAGCTCGTTCTCGGAGACGAAATAGCCGTCGGCGAATCCGTGCATACATAATTCCAGTAATTAGTAATTTACGTGTGATATCCATCGCGCGCAAGTTCTCGTTATACGGTCTCGGTCTCTAGTGTTATTACTTCGATGAGATTCAACGATATCTCTCGAGAGACAAGAAAACGAAAAAATAAATCTGTCTGGCACTTGGCTACGATTACACTTTCAATTTGTATCAACTTGCGTAATTCGTGAACGAATTTGGCTTACAAACAATAGTCGTCGCACTTTGTCAGTCAGATATATTTATTTCTGGTACGTGTTGTTGACTTGCGTTGAAAAATGAAAAAAAGAAATGGATTTTTCTCAAATCACAATTGAAAAACAGCGAGAAAATACCAACAGCCGATTCGGTAGACATCTGCCGTCGACTATCGACCAACGATAAAAACTCGACAATTTGGCATCGCAATCCGTAGTATTTGCAATTCGAGACGGTCTGTTAGGAAAGCCTAGTTGGAGCGGTTTTGCACGGAATTTCGAAACGACCACGACCTATCGATTACACTTCAGAAAAGCATTTATTCCGCGGTAATCTATTAATCGAGTATTCGAGCATGCCGAGCATCGCCTCTCACGCTTTCACCCGGCGTCCAATCGACTTTCTCAAGCCGAAATTACTTCTCATGGCGAACCGATCGATCTTCCGTTGCAGCGATTCAACTGCAACGCTGGACCAGACACAGTGAACCCTTCGAATGCCTATCTTGTTGGTTGCATCAATGGAACGCAGATTTACATGCAAAAGCACGCGACAATCATGGGTGGCGCCGGTATTGCAGTCGCGTGCTTGATGGTAAGACTTTCTCCGTTTTCATTTGCATTTTAATCGACTCCCAACACCAGCGAGAATTCATTAATAAATAAAGCGCGCGAGGAGAACTGCCTTTTCTTTTTGCTCACTTTCGATCGTTGCAATAATTTTGACGTTAACGTGAGCGTTTTCTAATTGAATCGTTTGGGAATTACGCACGTGCGAAAACGTTTGGAAAAATTGTCGATGTAAAAGGCACACGATCCTTTTTTACTGTATTTAATGTTAATGCTCTTTTCTTTTTCCCTACAGTTCTTCGGTATGATATTCTCGTGCGTTCTCTTCAAGATGATAGAATGACGAGAGAGCGGTGTGCTTTAAAACACAGCTTCGTTCTTCGTGTCAGGCTAACGAAGAGGAAGAAGTGGATGTCAGCCGTCCTCGAGCGACTCATGAATTCATAATCAACGTCATCGTCATTGAGTGTACCTAAGCTGAAGTACGAGAATCAAAATGCATCTTCACGCGCATCTTTCCAATGTACAGTTCTCACCGTGTTTTTCTATTCCTCTATTATTTTTTCTGTTTCTTTTCTCTTCTTTTCTTCGTTATTTTTGTTACATTTAGTATTATGTACTCAATGTACCTTTTACGATCGGTTTTCTTGTTTTTTTTTTTTTTTTTTTTTTTTTTTTTTTTTTTTTTTTTTTTTTTTTTTTTTTTTTTTTTTTTTTTTTTTGTAATCTCTAGGAATATACGTTCGAATAGTCTCGTTTAATACAGTACATAGTGTACTGTACAAATGTAATTCGTATTGTAAAACAAACTATGTACCTTACACGCGTAATAAATATAAAACGTGTACGAACGTTCATTAAAATCAATTTGAATTTCAATCGTTCGATTGCTATTCTCGAGCCGTTGTCACTTTTCCGATTTATAAACTGATCGGCCGACCGAGAACACGGTGCGCGTACAATTTCTGCTGCAACAACAAGAGGAATTCGTCAAATCTCGCGTCGTGTAATTGTGTGTCGCTTCTCGACAGACATCCAATCGCGTTCTTTAACTCGATTAACGAAATGTGCACGCGTCAGAATGTTTCCCCGTTGCAAATCCTATTCAGACGTCCCCCCTTTTGCATTCCCCATGTCCCGTCTATCGAACGATGAAACAGGCGCGCATGAAATGGTTCACAGGGCGAAGGATTTGTCACGAACCTTTCACGGTAGGACGGAATTTCAAATGGAGGCAAATATTTGCCATCGAAACGTCAACTGAAAGTTGTTAAACAAAGATTGTCACTAAATTAACATAGGAATAGTTGATTTAATAATTTTGCAATATCCTTGAAACATTAAACTTTTTAAAACGAAATTTTTTGCTATTTGCTTCTCCGTTTTGAATAATTATATTTCTATTCTAAAGAAACTGAATTTACTTAAATAGTTGGTTAGATATTATATATGTAAAAGGACAAATGAGAAAGGGAGCGCTTTCCAAAATGAGGCTTGTTAAAGTCTCAGGACCAACTACTTGCGAGAGATAAAGGATGCCTTATTACTCGTCTTTTCTTCGGGGCCGTTCGTGTTTCACTGGGAAAAAAAGTCGAGTAACGTGGCTACAATCTTCGGTAATGAAAGGGCGTATATAGCTTTTGTTTCGGGGAACAGCCAGTAGGTTTGCGGACTTCCATCCGATACAAAGACACGATGGACCAATCCGAGCCCCATAGAGGCAACGCTCCGCGTCGATATTTCAGACGGTCATTGGTGGGTACAGCGGGGGCAAGAAATTTCTGTTCGAACCATTTTCAATCGTCTTTTCCTACTCGTTTGAACAATTTATCATATTTTGTCGGTGATTCAAATTCAACTGTGGCACGAGAACAATTCATCGCGGTGAATTTTAAGAAACTTGCATCGAACGGAGCTACCGGAGAGGAAAAGAAGTTGCTAGACCGCCAGGCCGTGACGTAGAATTGCAAAGTAGAATAAAAATAGTAAACTAAACTGCTCATCGAACAATGGCCCGACGTTCTAATCGAAGTTCACCGTTTCAAAGTCTGCGTGTCCAATAACGGGCTGCCTCCCACTATATGTTTGCCTACCGGATGGCCTGCAGCTTATTCACCCCTTTATTGTCAGGCAGCAGGCCTCCTTGCATTAAAGCACGACGGGTTCCCGTAATCCAGGCGTCTCGCCAAAATAAACCTTCGTCGCGTTCTATCAGCCCCGCTTTTTATCTTCCGTTTAATTATCGAACGAAACGGTACAGTCTGTGAAGAAGCTCTCGCGATACTGATCAAAACTGCGGCGACTGTTCGATAATTCTATGCTCATTACGGACGAGACGGAGGAACACGGTTCTTCCCTTTGCGTTCTGAAACATTCACCAGGCCACATGTGCGGGGAGAATAGTTGCTGCCAAATTTTCCACAGCCCCGGGCAAGACGTACAGTCAGCGGAAAAAATTTCCACGAGCTGAAGACACCGGGGTACAATACTATTGAAAATTTCTCCTGTCGTTTAAAATCATCCTGCCGTGGCAACGCGATGATTTCGAAAATTACCCTACTGTCTACCCGGTTTCGATCGTGGTTTCCGAAGTCTAGCCGCACTAGCCGTTCTATATCGTGATTCTAATTATTCCATCCCTGCTGGTCGATGCGTGAGGCCGTAATTTTCCACTGGGTGTATCTATGGTCGTTGCGCGACTCGTCACGTCCTTCCTTCCCTTTCGGTTTATTCACCCCAGCGTTCGTCACCCTATCCGAGTCTTCGCGTCGAGGCGTGACTGGCTGCCATTCCCAAGGCGTTCAAACGACCCGTGCATGCCGTACAATTTTCCATTTAAGTATCCACCGTGTTTCTTTTTCTTTCCTGTTTCCTATCTTCCTTCTTACCTTTTCAATCAGTTACGCCGATTGGTCAAGAGCAGATTACTCTTTTACGAGGGGTGAAGAGGACGCCTCATAAATCTTACCAGTTTCTCATATTATTCGAGCATAGTGGCGAAGCATAACCAAATGATTCATCGCCTCGAAATCAAACAGATGAAATAGAAAGCGAAGCCACAAAGGACCCACGGCTATCCAGACTCGTACGTCCCACCCTTTCTTCGCATATTCGACCGTGGATGGAAACTTTCTCCCCCCTCCGCGATTACTACGCGAACAACTCGAGCAATCTGCTGAATCGCTCGCTCAACCGCGCCGAAAATCCGAACAAAGTCTCGCCCCCGCCGGGTTTTGGTTCGTTTCCCTTCCTCCTCCTTCTCCTTTTTTTTTCTCTTTTTTTCTTTTTTCTTTTCGAACGTGAACTCAACTTTCGCCGTGTGATTTTTCATCCTTGCGTTCAGTGCTCATCGCCAGTTACAAGTTTTCACGCCGTCTTGCCATTCTCGATGCATGCGCAAGTATAACCGCGTGTCGTAATCCCACGCACGCGTGCGTGCGTGAACGATATACTCGCTAACCATTCCCAGGGTCGAATAAGCCTACACGCTGCGAACCATCCTCGCCTGTTGTCGCAAAGGGTCCACGGACAGTGACGAATGAATGGCAACACACTACCGAGGGATAATGCTACTCGTCTCGTGGTCCGATCTCGGCGAGCAATACCTACATGCTACAATATACACCGGGCTACTTCCCTCCATTATTTTCTTTCGTTTCTCGTGCGACGTTCCACGTACGAACAATTGAAAATCGTCGACGACCGATCGGGCAACGACTGAAATCGAGATTAATAGCAGCTCGTCCGTGTTTTCCGATCTACGCTAATGTTCGTTGCGAAGATTGCGAGGGGGGAACTGCTTCTTCTCTCTCTGGTAATTCTTGCTCCTCTTCAAGGAGCAAGGCAAAGTTTGCGAAAGTTCCGCAATTGGTCTTTAGAGGTTCTTTTTGAATTGTTAGGAGCAGCTGCTTCGGCGAGCAAGTAGTTCCTGGATCTTTACGAAAACGAACTTGAAAGGGAATTCCTAGGCGTCAGTGATAACGTCAATGTACGAGTCGCTTAGAAGATGGATCTTTTATGATTTTTATGCCGAGTTTACGATTTTTCGTACGACGAAACAATGTTGTGGATGTTTTTGAAGAGGTTGAATAGATAGATAAATCTTTATTGTTTTTCTATTGAATTACAAAGGTAATCCCGCTCCTTCTCATTCTTCATACACAATACTTCTACACCCACATTCTGCTTGAACATAATTGCTAATATTAAATAATGAATACAATACTAATCTTCTAACACCAAATCTTTCAACTTACTTCTGGCAATAATCTAACTATGAAAATACTTAACCAAGTTGCTTGTTCCATAATTATTTTGCTCATTATAAAATAGAATGGAGTAAACTAAACAAAAACAAGGTAAAAGAAAAAAATCATGAAAAACAACCCATGATATATTAAAATGAATATGCTTTTATATATAAATATAGTTCTTTATCTTCCCAACACGAAGAGGTTGAATATTAATCGTATAACTGGCTTCTGAAAGAGTTTTACATACCTACGGGCATAGATCTTATATTTAATAAAAATTCGCCGAGGTTAAAGAGACTTCTTTCCGGGAAACGAAATATTTCGAAGTGAAACGAGCGTGTTAAACTTCAAGAGAGTTTAATTAGTCCACGGGAGCGCAGGGAGGAGCTGGCTGCGATATTTGCATGTCTGAGTAGCTAAAAAATTGGATTTCCTACGGCGCCTGATCTTTCGTCGTTTCTGTTCGTTCCTTTTTCTCTTTATTGACATAGTTTCCGGCCTGCTGACTTGGTGGTCTTGCCGAGGTAACGAGACAGCGAACGAGAGAGAGAGAAAAACGAGAGAGGGCCACACCGGGCCGCTGGGCGTACAGAGATATACAGCGCGAGAGTAGAGAGATATCTCCGTGTATTGATTTCGTCTCGAGCATTAAATCCGAATAGGCCGGAACCGGAGGGAGTCGTCCAGGTGAAATCAAGAACTCCGGTGAACCACTTCAGCCTCGATGCTCGGTTGCAAATTAAATTGTACTCGAAGCTGGGAAAGCAACTGCGAGTAGGCCAATGTAATTGGCCTGAGACCGGTCGGACTATTATGCAAGCTAATGTCATCGCGCGTTCGCGTCACGTAGGCCATTGTAGGCGACGCGACATTTTCCTCGACGCCCCGATACCAATAACAGCGAATCAAATTCGCGAATAACAGCGAAACTTAGTCCGGTCGAGACTCAAACAAACCGCGTGTGGAAACGACGAATGGAAACGTATGAAGATCGAGAGATGCACACGCTCTTGTTCATACGAATCTACGTAAACTTCTCGCGCGAAACACTTGAAGAAAGGATTAATTAGTTACGTTTGTATATTGATAAAGAGTCGGAGACCTCTCTCCGAGCGGATCGAATTAAACGGAGAAACTTAAATTGCATCAGCGACGATCATTCTTGATTCACCGCGAGCGTGAACGATCTCGGACACGCTTTATTTGGCCCGTCGATTAATCAACCGAGCGCGCACGGGGAATGATTTTGCGTGCGCGCGCGTGCTCTTGGCAAATATTTGCGTTTCACCGTTACTCATCGCAAAAAAATACAACGGCGCTAATTTATACCCGGTCGAAACTGTGCGCGCGCGGTGTGTGCATCCGCGCGATGCGTTCTCGTTCCGAAGGTGGAAATCTCTCGGGTCGGAAAGTGGAGCAGCGGAACGCGAGTCCTAGCCACCATCTGAGTGTGGGGTCGCAGAGGGAGTCCCAACGACAGGAACGAAAGGAAGCAATGGGAGAAGAGTGGAATTAAATAGGAACGAGGAGTAATAACGAAAAGAAGCCGAGGAGAGACTTCGCCATGCGATAGGAAAAATGAGGAGGACGCTGAAAGGGTCGCTTGATGAATGAAACTAGAATGTACATACGTGTATTATATTGTATACTAGATCTATATAGAATGATTATACGGAGCAAATACGGAACAGATTCTCGATGGATGGAAAACACTGCACGACGTGTTTTAATTTCAAGTGCAAGATTCTTGCGTTTCAGAGCAGCGGGCACAAGTCTAGTCTAATTGTAACTGTTTCCGTGTAAAGATCAGTTGAATCGGCACCAGTGCTTGGTTCAGACAGATAATGAAGAAAACGAGCAAAAAAGAGTCGACCCTCGCGTAAAAAGAAAGGCTGGTGCATTAAGAAGCTGCATTTAAGCATCCAACTGTTCCTTCGTTGTCAACGAACCGATCCGAGGAGACGTTTGATTTGACGTGTATAAAAAAAAAAAAAAAAAAAAAAAAAAAACAGGCACAGGGAACGCGCTATTGTTTCGATTCTAGCAAGATTTACGCTTACATCCGCACTGTACACTCTGCCAAAGGATTTACATCGTTCCGATGAGGGAAAACATTTTTCAATTTAATACCGAGAGCTCGAGCGAAAAGTTTCTGGATTACCGTCTGATTTACTGCCTTGGGTAAATACGACGAGTAAAGATTCATGTAAATGCATCCCCGCGAGATCCATTTATCGATTCGACGACCGTGCGTGCACCGGTTCGCGGATCGTTGGCTCGTGCACGAAGGCGAAGGTTCGCTGGGCAAATAAAAAAAAAAAAAGTCGAAGGAAAAGGGCGGATCGCTTTATAAGTGATTACACGATAGGCGATAGATAGGCCGGAGGATGGTCGGATGGAAAACGTACTTGCGTGGTTTCGCTATCCCGATGCTGTAACCGCGGCAAGCGCCCACAAGAAACTTATTAAAGTTCAATACACGTGGCTGATCGTCGAAGAAGGCGAGTAATCGCGTTTGCTTCGATGAAAATTACCTGCCTCCGACGTAACTTACCTGGGCTGCGAACGCCCAAGATACTCCCATTGCATCACGGCGAACGATCTAGTCGTTAAAAAAGATTGGAACAACGGATAAGTTCGTATTTGATGATCGTGGGTTGATCCTTAGACGTGTTTCTAATTTGAAATTCGTTTGTCTGGTCGTTGAGTGTTTTTAAATTTCCGATGAAGTTCGAAATTCGATGGAATCGACGATCGTGGGGTTCGGCCGCGAGCTACGCAGTGTTACCGCAATGACATTCTGCTAGCAGGTGCTGCTCGTCAACCAACGCTGCCGCGTGTTCGATGGATGAAAACAGTGGCCATCATGCGAATAGAACCTTAGGTTCCATGGCAGCACCTGGTTGTGAACGCGCCAGACCAGCCAGAGAGCCCGGCAGACGATCTGTTCTGTCAATCCCCACCATCGTCAATGCTACCGGGTTCCTCTACTGCACCACCACCACCACCATCACCACCCCACCACCATCGCCGCAGCCGCCGCCGCCGCCGCCGCCGCCGTCGTCGTCTCTTGCACCGTCGCCAACCACCACCACCAGCATCGTCGGCCACTACCATGGAAACCGACGAATGCGCATTCTGACTTCAGTTCAGCCGACGGTTTCAACCTGCCAGGTCGTGCAGGTGTTGGCAAACGGTTGTTGCCATCTACGACCGATTTCATCTCCCGGGGGAACGGATTCGAGAGGAATTCGGGAAGAGCGTGAAGATCGTCTCGGGGATCGCATCTCCAGCATCTCCGTCCATTTTATTCCACGGGAATCGCGAGTATCAAACGGGTGCTACGGGCGGGAAAAACGGGCGTGTGTTAAAAAAAAAAAAAAGAGCCGAGCTGCCGTAGAAGGGCTGCGATTTATGGAACCACCCCATGGATAGTAACATGTCGACTGCCGCCTTCATGCACCGGTATGGGAAACTTTTAGATCGATAACTAGACGCGTCCCATGCGGAGGTTCGAGGCCTCTCGGTCTGTGGCTCTCGTTCTCGCTTTCGTCGACCCCGCCAATCGCCCCGCTAGGCGACAAACACCACTCGAACCGACGAAAATTTTTCCACGAAAAATGTTCGCGGTTCGATCGATCGGTTTGTTGCTATGCAGCGGGGAGGAACGACTGGCGGCAATACACGCGGAGTTTCGTCAAAAGTGTCCCTCCTGGAAAAGAAACGGAGGCAAGAAAGATGCCGGTGCGATTCGAGAGCCGGCATCGCGAGTCCGATCACCTCTCGCTCTCAGAGCTCGCAATTTTACTCTGTTTTTGTTCGATGCCTCTCCGTTCATGGAACGTTCAGCCACGATCGAAGAAACGCGCCCACTTCCTGTGCCCCTGTGCGAATCGATTTCACACAGCTTTGAAAAGTAGAAAATTCTTCGACACGGACCCGAGCTTTTAACTGGTTTCGCGGTTTTACCCTAGAGGAATCTAAGATCTCGAGTTCGTCGTTCGTCGATGCACACACGCACGCACGTAAATGTATCTACGTTCGAGGGCGTAGCGTAAAAGCGAGCAGAAAAAGAACAGAAAAAAGACGCGATGACATTTTCATCGAGCGGCCACTCTGTTTGCACAGGGCGTTGTGCCCGCCACTTTGCCAGTAATTGAATCTTTCAATTTCCTTGCATCGAGAAAATTGCCGGTCTATTTCGATGCGTGTGCGATCGACGAGCTTCCGCGGAAATCTCGAACGTGTTTGCTTATTAATGCTTATGGAAGCACCTGTAACCGTGAGATTTATTGCTACAATCTTGCGATACTAACGCGAAAACAATTATAATTACCTCCAATCATCTACTTTCTATTTATGGTTTCTATTTCAACAACCATTCTACTATTCTTGAACGTTCTAAACTGGTTCGTTGCAAAAGTCTCATTATAGTAATAATAAACGATAAATTTTCATTATTATTAATTTTTAATTATCGTTATATTATTAAACTCTCTCTCGTGTCGTTACGTCTACGTGGATGTGTTTTGAAAAATCGCCACGAAACGTTTCCATAGAGAAAGAAAGACGCGTGCCTGTAATTTCGACGGCATTCTATTAACCTGTATTTTCACGAGCGCGTCACCTGTTCGATTTCCCCCTGAACGACATGATGTCGAATCGGACCAGCCCGCTTTCCTTGAACCTGCGGATACCGCAGCCATTGACCGAGGCTTATTCCTCCGCTCCGTAACGAAAGGACCTAAGTGCGGTCATTCTCTGTTCCTCTTCTCTCTCTCTCTCTCTCTCTCTCTCTCTCTCTTTCTCTCTTTGTCTCTCTCCCTGAACCCCTCTCTCCTTCTCTCGTTCCCTCTCCCTTTCTCTCTGTCTTTGTTCCTCGCTTTCTCGTGCTCGTCGTTAGCTATCTTCACCGCTGGTGTCCCAGACTCATTTGAATATCAGAACAACGCTCTCGATTTATCGAAGGCCACGAAAAATGATTACAAATAACGATGAAACGTGTATTTCAAGACTATCCGGGAACCCGTATGGCGTAGTCAACTATTTTGCCGACAATTATTTTACTTCAATACCATTTGTTGAATTCTCGTTGAACACGATTGGAATTACGTTCTAATTTGATGTTAATTCGAACACAAGTCAGTTCGTCGTGTCGTGTAGATTGCCAATTTCTTAGGAAATAATATTTAGAAAAATGTCCCTTCGTTCCGTGATTATTATTGATGAAATATCTTATTTTTTTTGTTACAAGTGTTATCGCAATTAGCATGTTTAGAAACGAAATATCATCTTCTCCGTGTATAATTAACGATCCAACGATGTGACACAAATCACAATGCTAGAGTAGTAATATACGATCAGTGGATTGGCGACATCCAAAGTAATAAGGGAACACGCCCTCTTTAAGCCTCACACCACGGTTGGATATCACGGTTGCTCGGACGGTAGAACGTCGAAACGCGAAGAAAATTTATATCGTGAAAGAGCACGGGATTATATAACGAATGCAAGAAACATCGAAAATATAGATGAGATACACTACGGTATAGCAGTGCCAACGAGGAAGAGCATTTTACCAATAGAGCAGGCGCGCGTGAAACGCTCGTTCCTCGATTCTCCAAGTCTCCAAGCAGTCGCTTAGTCATTCCGCATTAATTCCGCGTTACCCTCGTATCTTTGATCCCTCCAACGTGCATATCCAAAGTGCATCCCCATGTTGGAAACGGTTCTACGCTGTCCTGTCGCATTTCGTGTCCTCGTCGCGTAAAGGCGGAACGTAGAATCGATACATCAGCCAGAAGCTCAACGGCGCGGCGCCATGCTCATTCGTATTGATCCGATTCACGATCTCTCGATTCAAGATCAAGAGATCGCGTGCAACTTTCTCGATTCAAGATCACGAGGTTCGAGCTGCACGCAGATCAGGATAGCGGTCGTAATTCATACAGGTACGATATGTAACGTGATCAATAATATTTCTACCGAAGAGTGTGCTTCTTTATACGTGTGCGTACTGGTTGTGGCTCTTCTTGTGCCCGTGTTCTTTTTCTTCTCCTTCCTCGTCCTTCTTGATTCTCGCAGTGTCGCGACACGTAACAGAGGCACTCTGGCTTTAGGCGTGATCGAGAAGCTCGATATACGGGTCGGAGCGAGCGAGCGTTGGTATTTCAGTGGAAAAAGTAGATGCTCGATATGAGTGGTGCACATATAGAAAACGGGATTACGAAGAATTTATCGAACTTTCGTTCGCGCCTGCCACGGATATCGCCGGCTGGCTGGCGATCGTGTGTCGCCACGAATTCTATCGTCGTAGACAACTGCCGTGAACGAGACGGTGTGTCACGTATGACTTGTACACCGAGAACAGCGTACCGATTTGCTGTTAGGCATCCGTAGGGAAACAGTTACTTTTTCATGACGATAGACTTCAGAATGAACACACTTTCCGTAGTCGTCTGTCCTACATCGAACGTCCCTACTAACAAATAGAGACGAAACTTTCTTCGCATTCCTTATAATCGCGAAGCTGTTAAGAACTTAACGAAATCGCACGAAATACCAATTAGGATCACATACACTCGCGAAGGAAATTAGAAGGTTCAGAAGGTTCGGAGACGGTAGCGAAGGATTTCAAGTGGCGTTCATTCATAGAACGGAGGAGAGCATTGTGTAATTGGAGCAACCGATAGAAGAAAAAAAAAAAAAGGGGGAACGAGAATACAACTCGACAACCGGTCGTCCTCTCTGTTTTTCCAAGATAAGCGTGACACTTGGCGGAAGAATAAGGCCGTGGCCGTGCTCGTATTAGGCCGGTGCGTTGCTCGCGTTGTTAGAGGCGCATTCACACGCGGCCATGCCCGACTCCAGCGCTCGCGCTCGATAGATGCGTGTTTGATAGCAAAAGGCGAAACCGTTGTGTGCAGCTTAAACTCGTTACAGCCCCGCGTTACGTTTCCCCTGTGCTACTCGTGCTCGTGACAAGGAGCCACGGACGAGTCGACGCGGTAACGCGGAGACCCGTGCAAAGTGAAACTCGCCGAAGGTTTCCTATAGGATTACACGAGGTCGTCCATGAGAGAGTACTACCTCTGCCCTACCTGCCCCCCTTCCCCTTTTATGCCGTACCGAAACAAGTTTTACTCGTCGGACGATATCGGTTACCGGCAAGTCGAGCATTTATTACTTACATGGAACCCGGAAGACCCGATCGATCGGAAGTGGCCCAGTGCGAACTTGAACCGTGTCGCGTAACGCGATTCCATGGAAAAATCTTGCCTCGAGATTTTCTAGTGGAACGGCATTTGTTGCCTCGGACCGAACCAGTAGCTCGTAAGTAGTTCATCTAATTGGAACTCACATTGATTTCTCAAATTACTAATTTCCGACTCCGATCGACGAATAATTGGAATTCATTGGAACTCGGCAAATCAATAAAAAATTCGCCGATACGACGTTTGCCTTTCCTTTCTCGAGCAATCTTTTTTTCAATAATATGCTCGGGCATTTATCTGGAGAAAGATCAGCAGTTGCAGTTGCTCGCGGTATCGCGTCGTCACCGAATTGAAACTCGTTCTGCTAGTCGTTGGTCGTTACGGAATACCGGTGAGCCGAGCCTCTCGCCACTTACGTGGAACCCGGAAGATCGACTGGACGGAAGTGATGCACGCAGCGTCGATTCTGTTTCTCATAAACAACGGGTGACGGTAATTAATTGCGCGCGACTCGACGTACTCGTATACCCATGCTTATTCCGTCTGTAGACCGGCTTAGCCTCCAAGCAAATTGTTTTCAGATTCAAAACGATCGGTTTGATTGCTTAATCGCCGATTAACACGCGCGGCTAGACCGAGGAAATATCGTTAGCGATGCTCTCTCGAGAAACTGGCAGTAAATTAGAATTAGCGATCGAAACGTGTTCAGAAAGTACGCAATTCTTTGAAATTTAAAAGTTCCAAGTTTCGTTTCAACTAAATTAAAAAAATACTCTCTCGCGAACAGGAGAAAGGTCTGCATAACATTGGATAATGTCCGCGACGATCGTAAAATATAAATCTATCTTTGCAACTGTGTTTGACATAGCCGGAAGATCCGCTACGATAGAAAAACGATCCGTTTTTACGATATTCGCGGAAATATATTAAAAGTATATTCCTCTCTGAAATCCATCTGGTTCGTAATCCACGTACGCCCACGAACATGACGTGCCAGACGTCCACGGAGTCGTAGCAATTTCTCCACGAAGAAATTCCACGATTTAAACAACGCGGTGTAGCGTTGCACGTTAACTTGGAAAGCACGTGGCACACTCGGACGCGAGTGTCCTTCTTCCCCTTTCTCGTTTGTCTCTGTGTGCTCTCGTACGGGAGCGCATTCAGCGCACAATAGAGAGCCGGAGCTCGTTTCTACTCGTGGAAACGATATCGGTTACGAGCATTTACCGTACGAACCCGGAAGATCGATCG